GTTGCCAGGTCTGGGCACTTCATTTTCCAGAGCTAATAACTGAGGAACCACAGGAGCTTCAAAGATGAAGCTGCAGTTGTTATTATTAAACAGCAGGACCTCGATTGGGTTTAGGTCACGAGAGGGAGCATAGCTCAGGATGTAAGCTGTTTGGGGACAGATGGTGTTCCTTCTTAATGACTGGATGACATTCTGCGCTACCAGAGCTGTACGGTAATCCGTTGCCGTTTTCTTCACCATGTTCACGGGTGCAGGTACTATAACGGTTTCCGAGGTTGGTTTTGGTGACACCCGCACTTCCTGTGATACGCTATAACTGTGAGGCATAGTGTCGAGCTCTGTGATGGTCGCTCCTCCAGTCGGTGGCCCGGGCCGCTGGAAGTACTTTAGCAGGTCGAAGTACCCCCAGTAATAATATCTGAGGTGCTGATACATCGACTCGCCCAGGCTGTAGCCTAAATCGAGTTCCTGCTTTATCCGTTCAAGTTCTTCTTGCTTTTGCTGAAGCTCCTGGGTGCCCTTATCTAGCTTATCCAAAAGAGAGGTACAGTGGGATTTTATCTTCATGTTTCTTGATTTGAGATCATTGAGTTCTCTTACAGCGCTCTGATGCTTCTGCTTGATTTTCTGTTGTGATTGTTCTACTTGTAGTATCTCTTTCTTTAATTTATTTTCTTTTAACTTTGCATTTTTTTCTTGATCTGTAATTTTCTTTGTAGCTTTTTCCACCTCTTCTCTCTGAAGTTGGTTGTCTTCGTCCAACCAATCTCTTTCAGTCCGGAGGTTGTTAATTGTGGCAATTTGTTGAGCTATGGTTGCTGCTTGCTGGTTTACAATCGCCAAAAGTTGCTCATAACTATAAACATACATCTGTGCCATCCTTTGCGGATGAATTGTTCTTTTAAATGCACTAAAAAATCTTTTCTTAGAAAAAAGTCACTTCACCGCTCTATATAATCTTCCGTCGAATTTCTATCACGATTTCCTTCTTCCAAAAGTGAGGTTTTAAAATTTAGTGATGTCATAAACAATTACCCTGCCTTGTTAATTTCTTTTGCGCGCGCACTGGCTCTTGCGCTGTGATACTAATGGTCAGCAGCAGAGCATTTGTTAATTCAATAAGATGTCAGGTCGTATTGTAATGTGGGCTAGAGGTGTTGGGGTCAGTATTGTTCAGTCTCTCTTCACAATTTTTCTTTAGAATCGCATAACTGAGTAAAATCTCGCATTCTGATTGGTTAACAAAGCGAGGTATTGGGTGGAATTGCGAGTTGAAAACGAGGCTAAGCAATATTGTTTCGCATCTACGTAACAACTATCGTCAAATTCTAACACAACAACTGCAAAAAAGGTTTTCTACAATGTCATTTTAAAATGTTTTCAAAACCATTGTCACCTTTTGAAGAGTTCAAAAGAAACAAAAGCGTTTTTATAGTGAGCCGGAGGTTCTTCCTTGTTTTGGACTGACGTGAACTACAAATTCTCGAAGAAACATAAAAAACCTCTTTCGCTCGCGACAGCGACAAAACAAGAAAATCTTGTGAACACGGCCCAGAAAATGGCAAGCCAAAGTTCAACCAAACAAAACGGAGAAGCGACAAGGGAGGAAGCGCCGGGGTCGATTGTCACATATACAGGAGAAGAAATAAATACCTTCAAACACGACATGGCCCGTCAGTGAAAACACAACAAAGAGAACGCCGCTTGCAATCGTCCTGAATCGTGATACTTAGAAAAGTACAAAACAGAGCTGAACTTGAACAGCATTTCTAAAACATTTCAAGGTACTTACCATATATCAATCGCGACGTTAAACTTTCAGTGCTTTCGCTTAGACACTTCATTTCTTTCAGTTTTGCCGCCGAAGAGGTAAAAGGTGTAAATTATTTTCCTTCTCGAGCAAATGACCAATTTGAAAAAAAGATGTTATAGATAAACGGCTTGTAAATTCAGTGAAATACTTCTATTTATCCTTACGATTAGTGTGAAGCTTGTTTACATGTAAAAACGTTTGAAAACAAATGTAAAAACAAACACAAGGTACAAAAAAAGTTGTCGAAGGGTCAAACGTGTACGACTGACCTTGCTTCCTATTCGCTAACGCAATGACAGTTCTGACAGTTGACTTTGAAAATGGGTTCCTGGAGCGCGCGCTCAGGATAAAAACAAACAATATTATTGCCGTTTTCTTTTTTTTTCTGATTTTTATTCAGTTATGCGATTCAAGGAAAATCCATTACCTGACTCGTGAATTCCACGTTAAATTGTACTTGAAAACCGATATCGCACTCATCGCTTCGCCATTCGTGCGATATCGGTTTTCGCGTGCAATTTGTAAAGGTAAAACCGTATTTATTCGATTAACCGCCCTGGGCGCTTATTAAATTTTTGGATCTTGAGAGTGGGCGCTTATTCGAGGTGGGCGCTTATTCGAGGCTGGGCGCTTATTAAATTTTCTCCATTTTCAGCAAGTAAAGTACGGTATGTTTATTTTGCAACAAAACAATAAATGCTAATAACAAAACGCGCAGAAGTAACAAAGCAAGGTTTCAGTAAAATACTCTGAAGAAAACTCCGTTCTCGGGGAAGTCTCTTATTAGAATTTATTTCCTTAAGTGGGTGGGGTGGGGGTGAGCGCGTATTTGAGTTTGATTGGGAGGAAGAGGGGGTGGGGGCTTATTCGAGGCTAGTCCCTTATTAACTTTTTCTGCCTTTAGGATGGGCACTTATTCGAGCATGGATAATAGGTTATCCGTGATTCGAGGTGGGCGCTAATTCGAGGTTGGGCGCTTATTCGAATAAATACGGTAGCACGATTTGTAGTGATATTTGGCATAAATACCAAGAGTGATATTTCGAGATTGTTATACATAATTTCACGAGCCGTTAGGCGAGTGAAATTTGAGACAATTTGGAAATATCACAAGTGGTATTTATACCTAATATCACGTACAAATCATGCTATTATTTGTTTATACTACTACCCGCAAAGGTTTTCTAATTTTCACATGTAGGTATTTCAAATTAAGCTGAAATACCACTGCTCTAAGCCAATCAAATTGCAGAAATTTCTCATGTAGTAGTGGAATTCCCTCGTCAGGTAATGAATTTGTATAGGTAATAGCATGATTTGTAGTGATATTTGGTATAAATACCACGAGTGATATTTCAAATTTTTTACACGTAATTTCACGAGCCGTTAGGCGAGTGAAATTTGATACAATTTTGAAATATCACGAGTGGTATTTATGCCAAATATCACGTACAAATCATGCTATTATTTGTTTATACTACTACCCAAAAAAGGTTGGTAATTTTAACATGTAGGTGTTTCAAATTAAGCTGAAATACCACTGCTCTAAGCCAATCAAATTGCAGTAATTTCTCATGTAGTAGTATAATCCTATAGAATTAGTAGGCTGATTTAGCAGCAGAACGTAAACGTCAGTTGACAAGGCGCGCGCAAGTTAAACAACTGTCTGGACCAATAGCAGAGCGGCAAATTTGGGAGGTACGTTAATATTTTAAAATAAGCGAAGTCCTTTCCGCGCGCTTTCCTGTCGTCAGCGAACGTTCCCGTTCTGTTGCTACATCAGCCTATTGTTAATCGGATAGCGAATAACCTGAGATCAGGCGTGCTTNTTCTAGCTTTGACGGTTGACGATAATTTTTTTGTTCCAATTTTGACGGTTGACAGTTATTAAGTAGAAATTTAGTCCAAGAGTTTAAGTAAATAATAATTTCCGTATAAATTAATATTAAGAAGGGTCCTCTGCGTGCTGGGCAATTCCCCCTCACTCATGGTTTGAACTTACCTGAAATAAACCAAAATAGCCTGATCGCAGGTTGGGTTTGAACAGGAGCGTCGTGTAGTTGCATGGGGTAATCTGTCGAATAATTTCTAATTATTAGAGGGATTTAGACACACGATTTGGAGGCGTGTGTGGTCGAGCGGTTAACACCTCAAACTCCGGATGCTGGAGCCTGGACTTCAAACCTCGCCCGCGTCGAGCTGTTTCCTTAGACAAGGAACGTTACTTCAGTTTGTCTCTCTTCAGCCAGGTGTACAAATTGGTACCGGCGAGATACTCCTTGGGGGTAACCCCGCGATGGACTAGCATCCCTTCCAGGGAGGAGTAGCAATACTCCTAGGCATGCTTCGTATTAAGGAAACGGGGATAAGCTCCGCCGATTGGGCCTTTGGCTCGTATGCGCCTTTGCCTTTTTTTTGTTTTTACTGCAAACGGCAGACGTGAATTGTACGCCTTTACTGTTCATTACGTCTACCCCAAAGTTAGTAGCTCTACCGGGTACAACAACTTTTTTATGTAGTTTTTATCTGCTCATTTTCTATTTTGAGAAATTTTCAACTTCAATATGCCGTTTGCCGTAATCGCCATTCGTCCAACGCTTTCGGTTATTGGAGGATTGACTTTGATGTTAAAGTGGTCGGCGTTTTTATTTTGTCACACAAAATAAATTACAGAAAGTAGAAGTAAAAACATTATAAATATATAAATAACATAAAATTGAAATCAGTAAACAGCTGAAAAAGTGACTGAGGCGGGCACATCTCCGAGAATCCAACGAGCCTATAAGAAATAGAGATTTTCCCCGTCGGGAAATTGAAATACTAGTAAGTAGAAGTAAAAAAGACGTATAAGGATCTAAGTATGTATACTGAACGAATATCTATAAAGATAGGTAGATAATCAAATGTTTCGCCGCTATTGTTGTTATCATAGGAACTCTGGTCAGTCACTGTGTTTCAAAACATCTCTTGATCGACTGAAAAAACATTATCCGTCGCCCCTGGAGCTCTCTAGAGATCGTCCTCGTAGGCTACCAATCTTTTAAAGCTGTTATCTTCAATTAATCCAGAAAGGTGCTTAAGTGTTTTGTTTTTCCCCGCAGAGGCGGCATGGGAGGAAAAGAGTCAGTTTCCCACTGCCAAATATCAGGGAAAAGATTCCTCTGCTGATAGGTAAATGTATTTTATTATCCTTCAAATTCTGGGTTTCTTTTAGACTCGAACATTCAACGACCATTGACAAGAGCTCATTCCCTCGACTCTGATACATTCACGTTCGGCCGTAACTCCTTGGAGACCTTGAGAGTTCTCCGCCATACACTCCCCTGGCCTACCCTACGAGTCTTTTTGCTCACAGGGTGAAGCGGCTGGGATCCACAAGACATGCCAACTGTGTATCCTCTACCGTGCTGGGCCCATCTAAAATAACCAGAAAAAAAGTGCTGGTGAAAACGTGGCGGTTGAAATTTTATCCTTGATATAAAAAGGGAAATAAAAAAAAATAAAATGAGTATCCGCGAGACCAGGGTCTGTTGACCAATCAGTGAGAGCTCGACATGATACGCAATAAAAAATGACTCAAATCGACCAAAGGAGGCGGAGAAATATTTTTCAGTCATAGTAAAAAGTTTACGATAACGTTACTCACTCATGACAAAATATTCTTCTCCTTTGCCGACTTCGGCTCGTGCTTCTTCCACAGCGTGTTTTACAGCAAACAAACACGAGCAGGCCATGCATTGTGCAGGTTCCCCTGAAGCTGATGAAACATAAGACATACCGTAAAATTCCGAAAATAAGCCCCGGGGCTTATATTTTTCAAAGGCCCTTTTTGAGGGGCTTATATTCGGAAGGGCTTATCCACGGAGGGAAATTTGCGTCTCAAAATCGATTGGGCTAGCCTTATACTTGGACGTAAATTTACCGTTTTTCCTTTGTTTTACTTTGTATTTGAGGGCAGTTTTTTCCAATTTCAAGCCCCCGGGGGGCTTATATTTGGGGGGGCGATTTAACGGAGGGTTTTTTGCGTTACCGGTTTGGGGGGCTTATATTTGGAGGGGCTTATTTTGGGAATTTTACGGTATTATACTATTACATGAGAAATTTCTGAAATTTGATTGGCTTAGAGCAGTTGTATTTCAGCTTAATTTGAAATACCTATATGTGAAAATTACAAACCTTTTGCGGGTAGTGGTATAACAAATAATAGCATATTTGTACGTGATATTTGGCATAAATACCACTCGTGATATTTCAAAATTGTCTCAAATTTCACTCGCCTAACGGCTCGTGAAATTTTGTATAGGATTTTGGAAACTTTACAAAAGAAAAATGATTTTTTTTTAGAATTATGACAAGGGTCATTCCTTACATGCAGTTAATAAGTTGATTTGCTTACTCTTGGATCTGATGATGCCAAGTGGATTTGGAGCATTCTTCAGTAGTGATACTCTGAAGTCAATTGGAATGTCCTTGGAACATGGAGGCTTGTAGTCCTAATAAAATAAAGAAAACAAGTCCAAAGTCCATTTTTCGCCCCCTGTAAGGGAATCTGGATTCTGGAATCCCAAATCCAGGAGAATTTGCAAGTGGAATCCGGAATCCTGGGCCTTGCAGTCTGGAATACGGCTCAAGGAATCCGGAATCCAAGTTATTCTAGCAAAAACTGAAAATCAAGAATCCTGAATCAACAGCGTGGAGTCCAAGACTGTCCTGTATTTCCTTACATGGGTTAGCAGTTTGGAACATAGGTAAGCAGTTAGCTGCAGTAAGTTACAAGTAAAAGACATTTGGTTATTATTAGGCTTCAAGAAGTTTATGATTTCCTAACTCGTGTGTGAAAATCATACCCGTGCACTATTGGAAAATACTCTAATGACTGAACTGCTAAGCTATAACAATAGGAAGACGAAAGCGAGGGGCGCGGATAACTTGAGATTCAAATGAAGCGTGCGAAAAACGCCATTCAACGTGTTTCGCAAACCATTAATTTCAGGCTGGATTGCCATTCCTTAACCTCGTGCTTTGCATTTCCACTGTCAATCTATTTCGGCCAATCTATCCATCAACTTCATCGACTATTGACGTTGTTGATAAGGGTCTATTGTCCAAATAACTGAAGATACACTATGCAACTTGGTTGAAAGATATGATTTCATAACCCACCTAGATGGATTGCCCTAATGTAATAGCCTACCCCTGATATTTGCTTGTGTCGCACTGAACTCTTGCGCCACCACTGAACTCTTTAATCTTAGCACAACCAGCAAAAATCAACTGCAATAGTGTTAAAGAAATTTGGCGCCTTTGCCATGTCGTCTAAAAAGTTAATTTTACACAAACGTTCAACAAGAATCACCACAGGCTTAAGAAGCGAGTCAGAGCTTCATCTCTTGCAAAAACTTACCCAAGTTCCATTACTTAAGTTTCTCCCTGTCTGAGGATCGTAGATGAATTTCTCTGTCAGCCACTGACCAACTCCCATCATGAAGGCGCCTTCCACCTGACCAATGTCCAAAACAGGGTTCTTGCTGTGGATATCATTACAGCATTACATCATTTTAGTTTAAAGAGGCCGTGTTTAACACCAACCACTTTTGATAGAGGTTCCACGTATTTGCATCAACAGAGCGTTTTCACATGACGTCATTTCCGTCGTGCTAGTGTCCCAAAACAATGAAATGGCGGCAATGTTGGTGTTCTGTGAGAGGCTTTTTGTTGACTGAAAACGCTCTACAAGACTAACGACCCTTTAGCAAACATTTATTTCTAGGCCCAAATACTCATTAATTGACCAGTTTTGACTTAAACATAATGTTTGAATGTTGATGTTCAAGCTGGAAACAATTTCGACTCGCAAAGAACACCCTTGTGATTTAAAGGCATCTGACCACCACTATATGGATACGTGCAATTGAAAGTCTCTTTTACTGTTACCTTTCTCCGCAGTCATTTAGTATATCAGTGCGCAAGATCTCTCTTTCTCCTGTCAGTACATCAACCTCAACCTCAGTGCAAGTCACGCCGTAAGTGTTGTATGTATATGTGTCACTTGGTGGTGTTGGATCTTGGTACCTAAGAAAAGAAAAGGCTAACTAACTCTAAGAACAACACGAAACATAAACTATGCAACATTCAGTTCAAACCCCAGGAATGCGTGTTTCTCAAGAAAGATAAAATTATTTGCAATGTTTAACCTCAGTGAAAGCAAATATGGTGTGGTTTAAAACTTACATACTCGTGGCTGATAAATGCACTCCATTGTCATAGCACCTTTCAATCAGTCCAGGCCAGGCCGCACCGGATGGCATGGTTTTTCTGATTGGGTCAATCACTTTATTCAAGACGTCGCAGCATTCCATTACCGCCTAAAATAATATTTTTTAACTGCTGGACGGTGCTATATAATAAGTTAGTTATTTATACGGTAACAGACATAGGCATAGGTTTTTCGTGGCGTTAAGGGATAAAGGGCGAAAGGGTAAATTTGTTTGAGAGAACACTGGTGAATGGCACTGGTACTAAACCTTTTACAGGCAATTCTTTGAACGACGGACGACTTTCCACCGACAGTATAAACAGGCAAAAAAACTAAATGACTTGACAACGGCCAGTCCCAGCTCCAAGAGTTCTGTTTGGGAAGGTTTCCTTTAGTTTATTGAAGTCATCAGGGGCGTAGCCAGCTTTTCGACTAGTTGTAGGCCTGGCTAACTTTCATTTCCACATATCCTGAAAATTGCATGCTGATGCATGACTAGTATGCACTGACCTTACCAACACTTTGAGCTCTTAAGGGTTTTAGCTTGCCTCAACAACTCATAACTTAGTACTGGCAAACGGTAGAGCGATCAAACCAAAAATTTGTAGGCTTGGACCTAACGGTCCATGTGATGGCTACGCCCCTGGACATTAGAATGACTACACTTGAACCTCGCCTTACCGAAACCTCCATAATATTGGCCAACATTGGTGGATTATTGACCCAGAGTTTGTCCCGCCAGAGAAATGCTAATCTTCATACAATCCCCACCCCTGTAATACAGACACCTCTTTTATGCCATTGCCAACCTTTGTTGTCCGAATTAATAATATTTGATTGAAATGGAGTTCTCCAGTGTTCTTGGTATAGTTTTTATTCTGTGTTTGTTTTATAATTAGTATTAGTATTTAGATTATCCAATCACAACGCTTTTAGAAGCAAAAAATTTTCAAGTTGTTTTGCAAACGGGCTAATAAAATACAAGGTTAGACTATGCCTTTAAAATCGTTCGAACATACCTGACCTCTCAGGAAACAGCCCTCAAATTTATGAATGCTATTGGTCCATTGGCAAAAAAACCTCCAGAATCTTCTGTTTTCATAAAACGTAGTGATTGGATAATCTTCTCCCAAGTACCCGCGGCTGGTTCGAGCTGTCGCATTGTAAAAGAGCTTTTGGCTTTTTTATTTTTTACAGCAGGTTTTATGAAGAGATCATGAATTGGACTAGTAGCTGTACAAACCTTGCAACACATCTCACTTGTTGAGCTCGCAGCTGTGCTTGAATCTACAAAAAAAGACAAATTGGGCGTGACCATAGACAAGATATGATACGGATGTTACATGATAAGTCGCCATCATGCAATAAACATCGTTTCGAAGAGGGGTAGTGGTGAGGTATGTGTGTGGTGCAAAAAATCCGATAGTATGGACATTCAAATGCTGTGAAACAACAGCAATTGTTCAACAACTATTTCCTTTTTATTGTTGTACAAAATGATGTTCGGTTTTGTTGTAAAGTTTTAACAGGGGATATCAATCCTATCTGGCTGGGCCAAATGTTCCGAGTAAAGTCGAAAGATATCAAAGGAAACATTACAGGTTTGTCACGTACTGTTTGGATTGGTAAATGCTGTGGTTGGTTTGATGACAATCATTTCCAGTGGACACTTCAGCTGGTGCGCTGCAACCTGAGCAACCTAAAAGATATACCTTTTCTTTAGTTCATTTATGTAATAACAGGCCAATTGCAATGTATTACTGAAATAATGACAGCCAGGATGCCAAAAAAGAAGATATACATGGGCCGGGGAAATAGTTTGGCATGTATTAAAGAAGGCGAATGAAAATTTCTCATCAATTAGATAGCACTAACGGGTAATTCTGGACAGGTCTTTACTATTTTAAAATGCTTTGACTATAGTGAGGCAAAAAACATTACTAAATGCTTGAGAAAAATTTAAATTCGCCTCTGATATTGTAAGTGCCAAGTTAGTTTAGTTCGAAAATTCTAAGATAAAAGTTTAAAGCAGGTCCAATTTGGAGAAAGTCATTATTTATCAGTTTAATCCATTAAGAATTACTTCAAGTTACTCAAGTAAGCCCTTGAATTCACCTTTACAACAAGTTAGTGGACTCTCTTTAATTTGCCTTGCAGAACCTTACAGTATGATATATGCAGGTATTTGTATCTAATGCGCACTTCCTATTATACCTCTATCAGATAATGTGGATAAAGCATTAAGCCCGGGGGACCCTCATATGAAAAAGAAGGGGTTAGGGATGTGATTTTATTTGTAGTTTTTGGTCTCAATTAGAATGATCAAGACTGAAAGCCAATGTTTTTACCAATTGAGGTATCGCTTAGGGCTGTTGGTAAAGAATTATCTACAGCATTTGATTTCAACGTCTTCAGCACAATGACGATATCTATATATCTTATTTGGTTGTCTGCTTTAGTACAGTCTCCTTTGTGGCTAAAGAAAGCCTGAGTCACACCAAGATTGGTCTCCTAAAGGGGTTTAACTCCAATTTTGCATTCATATGGGCGTCGCTTTCCCCAGCTCCCTCCCCTGGGTAGGAAGCCTGCCTTGATTGTATAGAATGGGTGGTTTCCACATATGATCGCCGCGAACACTAAAAAAATGTTCGGTGACAGCGATTTTAACAGTGATATGGAGACATTGATTCAGCCAGAAAAGCAGTCGCAGCCCTCGTTGCGACAACGATCACTAAGATAGAATTTGAGCGCCCAGGTTTCTTTTAACGTTTTATTAATAATACCTTGGTGTTAATTCCTTGCCCAATATCAATTCCTCCATGAGCAATAGCGACGGTGCCATCTGTATGATATATTGACACCAAAGCAGTATGCCTCCTACCATCCCACCGCACTCCATACTTTAGAGGAACGACACTGATTCCACGCTTCCGCCAGCGATTGTTCTAAAAAAAAAGCTAATCGACTTACGACATCATTCTGCTTTTGTATAGAAACCTATTGTTTTTTTTTCAATTGCTATAAGGTTTTTCAAATTCAGTGTAGATGAAAACAATGAATTAAAGGGGAATCAACTTTTTACGGATTCAACTAACTTTCTAGCTAAGTTTTGGTAGACCAAATGAAAAGGTCCGTACTAGACGGGTCCTCTATATTTTCTAGCAGGGACAAAAATATTGAAAACGAGAAGAGGTTTAGTGAAGTTTAGTTATCAGGTCCTAAAAAGACTAAGAGGATGAGACGCAGAAACCAACTCATCCTCACCTTGTTAAAGGTGTCAATTGCATCTTTTCTCTCCATGAAGTCACTTGATAGCATGAGGTCTAAAAAAACAAACAAGAAAAAGAGGAACCATACCGAATCAGTTGTTGTGAGTGATACTTGAGAACGATTGGTTGTCTCTAAAGTACAATAGAAGTCATTTTGATAAATTATGGTAAACGGCGATTTCAACCTAGGTGCCACGTCATAACTATGTCCAGCATGATCGTCGTGTGATTGTAGTCCTGGATTGGACTGCTGTGGACAGTGACTGACGTTTCGGCAACTTGTGCGGCAGTCGGCATCACCAGAGCAAGCTATTTTTCGTTTGCTAGTAAGGTTGCAATTGCTTCGATCGGCAGATTTCGATTCTATCTTTGTAAAACCATAGCGACACCCTAGTCAGAGTAAATGAAAATGATTAAAAAATAACGCGCAATGCAATCCAAAAATATTTAATAAACAAATATTACCATTCCATAGACTAGATATGTTACAGTCCTTAAGTTTTTGTCCCGTCTGCGTTACCTGCAAAGGTTTTGACAAACTGTGATGAGTAATTCCCACAACATCCTTTAATTGACTTTTTTGAAAGTTAATTTTTTATTAGTAGTAAGTAACTAATAAAAAATACAAGGGAAAAGTGTTATTTTGACACATTAATAAAATAATTAGATTTCTATCTTTCTTAAACGGGACGAAACAGAAAGAGGACGGAAAGAAAACAGAATTTTGATCATGAAATGTTTCAGTAACTGTCAAATGGCTGAAGGGTCCTCTGGAAGTACATTTGGGCCATCGCCAGGGGCCATCGTCGTTTCCTGCGAATACAGCCCCCCGATTCTTATCGCTCCCTAAACGTCCTTGGGGACGGTCAGTGGCGAGTGGTGGTTGGAATTCGCAGGCTAAGGTTATCGCTTTACAAAGCTCAGGTGGAGGTTGCCTAGTACCTGTACAGCGTTTTCCCAGGCCTTCACGGTCAATTCACTTCGGTAATGGAATAATGAGGCCTAGGGACTAGGTAAAGGTGTAGGTAAGTTCAGGTGGTGTTTATCGTTTTTTACTTTACTCAGGGAGTTTGTGAGAATAAAGCCCTAGATGACTAAACTAGAAATAAAATTAACAACTCAACACACAAATTCAAAAAATTCAAGTTATAATGAAGAAAGTTAAAACTTACTTGTCCATTCTTATACAAATTTAGTTCCCTCACTTCCTCTGGTGTCTTGTTCAAAGTTTTGGCAACATGTTCCACAATTGATTCCATAATAAAAACCGCTTGGCTAGAGCCTTGGACGAAATATATAAAAAAAGTTCTATTAAACTGCAGTATAATCGAAACGAGCCCTAGTTTATCTTCTCCAGCTGTTAAGAATATAGAAGTTTCAAATCAGTTCGAGGTAATAAGTCTTACCAAGTGTAAACTTCTAGGAACTAATTGCAATTGTATTTGTTACTTTGGCCTACTAGTTTTGTTGCAGCATGTTGAATAAAAGTCAAATTGTTATAAATTCGTTTTTCGAGGCTTTTGTTTCACTTAGACAGCTTTTCTTTGTCTCTTGCACGGCTACATGTTGTTCAATAGGCCTCGTTAAACGGATTCCAAATTGAGAAAAGGTTATAGCATACCTGGTGCGCGACACCATGTGTTTGAAGGTTTGTTGGTGCGAACAGCATGAGGCACAATGTTCCAGTTGGGACAAAAATAAGCTGAAATTGAAAAATCATAGGTGTGACGAGGCATTTCAATAGCTAGGAATAATAATAGCTGATATTAGGTAATTAATTAAAGCATATCAGGAGATAACACCTTATAAGCCCTTGGGCTATTTCCTCCTTTTTGGACCAGTGTCCAGCCAATTAGAATGAGAATGGCTTAAAGATATCCAAAACTTAGAGCATATTTTCGTCCTTATTGGATATATAAGCAGCATTTCTCTGCGCATGTGCTTCAGCCACAATTTTGACCAAGTAGGGTTCACAAAAAACGCTTACAACTTCAACCTTTCTCATAGTTACGGTGTTATGTGAAAACATGCGTGCTTACAAAGAACAAGCTCCTTTGAACTTGGGGCAAAAAACGGGACATAAATTTCCTGTGTAGCAAGCGTTTCGTGCAATTAATCAATCGCAAACGCTTGCTAGGCAGGCTTGGAAATCAAGGAGGTGACACAACAATTCCAACTAAGATTGCAAGTTAGGTATCCGCAGTACTATGTAGAGACATAGACCTCACCATTGTCCATCCATCCTCTGGCATACAAAATGGTGGCATCGTTAGAACTGCACCCGCAGTCACCGTAATAGTTTAGATCTATTCCATTCAATTTACCATCTTCTGAGACACCAACCTAATAAGGAAAAGCCATAAAATGACTGTAAGATAATCAAAGACTTAATGGTTAGGTAAAAACTTCAGTGGTTGCTTAATTGGGCAATGGTAGGAAAAAAGTTAAACATTCAAACTGGTGCATCACCTCCGGGTGAGCAGAGCGAAATTAGAGAGCTTTAGATTCTAAGACAAGGACGTGTACGAGAACGAGATTTTCCCAATACTAAGTAGTGCACGCGCGCGAACCAACGTTATTTTGGCGGGAAAATGTGGTAGCCGTTGTCGGTCTACTACGAGTTTTAGCGAGAATGTCGGCGAAAACAAGTTATCAAATGTTAGAAATTTAATCATTTAGCGATCAGGAGAGGGCTTTACCTCCTTGAACGGAAATAAGCGTCCTTCATTTTGTGGTGAAAAAAAGTACAACGAAGCTTTCCGTGATGTCTATTTTTAAAGAACAGGCAAGAAAATATAAAAGTAAATGTCGCCCTCGTGTAACCAAGATTTTCATCAGTTAAAATAGTTCTCCCATCATATTTTTGGCTCCCAAAAACCTATAGGCCCTAAACTAGCAGTGTTGACAACCGCGGCCAAGACCGTCATTTGAGATTTGAAAACCTTAAATGGTCAACCTCGTCCCCAGGGTGCTTTTCCCTGGCTTTGGAGGCCAGGGAAAAGCGCCCTGGGCACGAGGTTGCTAAATGGTATCAATTTACTTAAAATACTTCGAGGACCCCCGTCATTTTTAGTGAGCTTACTCTCTCCTCCAAAGGTTGCCTGTAAAACTGAGTCGGGTAGAATAGATTCAATTTCTTACCCTATAAACAGCTTTAAATGGTTCTTTTGATCCAAACATCTGCATGTTGGTGTTTAAATCCATTCTCAAACGAACTGGCCTAGAAAATTGCATTGTACAGCACTGTAAAATATTGTATTTTGCTGTTTGTGTGAAACATCCGCACTGAATAAAAACTAAACTAGGAAAACAGTGACTGTAGGTTCTGGAGCCAGGCAAACCGGACTAGATAATGTTAAAAATGTTTTTGGACCCTAAAAGGAATCCCTAACAGATCCTTCAAATAAAATCGTTATACTCGCTTGGATTAAAAGGTAAAATAATTTACGCACAGTTGTAAAAACAAGACTCGAAGCTAAACGGGTGTACCCTGAAAAAATGAAAATCACTTTGGGGAACTCCTCCGTTTTAATCATCCTGATTTCTTTGATTCGTGGCCAACAGGCCGTTTCTTGAAATGTTATGTTTGAGTAAGGAGGAGAGAGAATTGCTGAGTACGTAAGCCATTTTGCGAACAATCTTAAGTGCAAAAAGGGAAAAGAACGATCCCAGAGTATTCCACTTTACATATCGGACCTTAAAGAACAAAACGTTTACCGTTTGGTTACATAAGCAGCTATGGCGCATGCGGATGCGACTTGGTTTGCTCTTGTGATCCTGGCGCCAAACGCTCCTCCGCACCTCTTCACACTCATATTAACTCTGTGCAAATTAAATAAATTAATGAATGAATATTCATGACATTCATGACTATAATTATAGGAATTATACTACTACATGAGAAATTTCTGCGATTTGATTGGCTTAGAGCAGTGGTATTTCAGCTTAATTTGAAATACCTACACGTGAAAATTACAAACAGTTTGCGGGTAGTAGTATAAACAAATAATAGCATGATTTGTACGTGATATTTGGCATAAATACCACTTGTGATATTTCAAAATTGTCTCAAATTTCACTCGTCTAACGCCTCGTGAAATTACGTATAACAATTTTGAAATATCACTCGTGGTATTTATGCCAAATATCACTACAAATCATGCTATTACCAGTACATATCTGATGTTCCTTATAAACTGTTATTTGTAATTACCTTTAAAAAATGACGCGCGCAGAAAAGAGTGGATTATAATTACCTGTGAATTGGTAGGTTAAGAACCTTAGCGACAGCTCTTTGGGTTCCATCAATCTTTTGAGTTGCGCAGTGGACAGTTAGACTATCATCCTCTGGCACGCACAGCGCTATCTGACATAAATGTAGATACCAATAAAAAGTAGTATTACAAGTGAGTATATTAAGGCATTCTTAATTTAAGTAGACGCATTTAGTGAACTTGCGCAACGGGACGAAAAAAGAAAAGACGACGGCAAACCTTGTGTGACAAGTGTGACAATAATTTTGTTTGAAGAGACCTTCCGCCAAACTTCACATTCCTTTAAAAACTCAGATGTTGTTTTAGAGGAGCAAAACATCAACGTTAAGTGAATTCTCGACAAAACACTCAAGTAATAGCCCCGTCACGTTTGTCACACTCAAGCGTTTTGCCGTCCTCTTCTTTCTGCCGTCCTGTTGCGTAAACTTGCTAACAACATCGAGAACTGCATAAGTCTTCCCAGCTAACTGGAGACAATTTCCAGACCCAATTGAAATATATGAATTCGAACCCTTGGTTTATACTGTATTAGGCCTGGCGCACGCTACTGGTGTACACGGCTAAGAATCTCACATCATTTGGCTCTTATGAACTTATTAAAACTCAGATCGCATCGATATTTGGCAAGAAGTTAAAGTTTATAAACAGCTTTTCATTGAATATTTTTTTTCTGGCTGTAAGGCCAAAATAAAATTGAAATATGAAAAGTATGGCTCAAAATGGGACCATTTTTTAACAGCTCGCGTAACATTTACAGTCTAACCACGCATATTGTAGGATTTCTCTGTTTCTGTGAATGGTACTTTGGAAAAATTTCTCCGAAGAGGTCAGTGACTTATGAGTACTAACTGTATTAAAAATTACTGAACATAATGGCAAAACAACAAAGTTTAGGGCGTTTTCAGAAAGATGTTTTGTCTACATACGATCTCTGTGCAGCGCGAACGTCAATTTAAAAGATTGGTTTTCATTGACTTTCTGTTGTTGTTAAGAGAAGAAATAATAATTTTTGGAATGCTCATAAGTTAAACCTTCCTTATAGGCTAACTGTTAAGACTTCGGGAAACCCATTTTTACGCTAAGATCAAATATGTAAGGTTAGACAGCAATTTTTTAACGTGAAAATTCGTAAACCGTGCGTTGGACCGAAAATCGGATTCTAGAGCGTGCTTTGGCTTAAAGTTTTTGTGCCTAAAATGTGCCTAAGATGTGCATAAAGTGTGCATTTTAGTTTTGAAAAACGTGCCTTAGCCGTGCCTAAGTTGTGCCCAAACTGTGCCTAATCTGTGCACAAGTTGTGCCAAAATATTGAGTCACTCGAAAAATCGTGTCCAGCCTATCGATCTCCACAGCGAACGAAAAGGGCGCTCGGCAATTATGTCAGTTTTGAGGTTTACGAAGTCTAGAAATACGGTCTGACGACCTTTTTATCCCCTAATAAGAAATAACATGACTCAGAATACGGCTAGAGACAGCAGGGAAAGCACCGACAAACAGGAAAATGGAATCTTAAACAGGTTAGCGTATTTAAAGTAAGTGCTCAGCTCAGTTACATTGTTGATATGCTAATTTCATCGATGTTAAAAAATTTCCGAGTAGGTTTCTTCTCCCCTTCTTAGCGGAGCGTTTAGTTGGAACGAAACATTTGTTTTTTTCAGGAGGGCAGATTTGCATTCAAAAAAAGAATTTACTTGTGATATGACATAAAATGAAAACGAAAAAATTCATTGCACACCGATGAGTTTTGAAGCAAAATAAATAGCACGTCTCATCGATTATTATACGATCAAAGCTTAATTTGCTAACAGAGCCAGAAAACAAAAACAAACAAGCAGCTTGAATTATTTTACTACTAAGTGTAAATCCTACTTTCTTAGTTAGAGAAATATTTTTAAAAAGCAGCCGCATTTTGTATTTAAAAAACAACACGCGTTGGCATGAAGGTTTCAAATTACCACTTTGTACTTTTCATGTTGTTATGCAAATTCAGGCCAATTTTACCGCCATCGCAAAAAGTATTTTCTACGACTTTTATTGGCTATTTTTGTGCCTTACTTCTTTAGCTTTGTTTTTGTTATTATGGCTTCGACTTTCTTTGACGATTTCTGTTAGAAACGAAAGAAAGCGAGTCAATAAAATTGCATGGCAATTGAAAAGGTTCAGACCGCATACATCGTGTGTGAATTTCCTCTTTATCCTCGGAGTAAACACGGACTGTCGAAGAATACTTTAATTTTTCAGACTTTCGGCGCGGCTCAAAACTTACACTTCCTATACTTCTAACTGTATCGTGTTTGACCTGAATTATTTTTGTAATTCGTACCAAGTTTGTTCTTTTTTGCAAGTCGGGTTACAAAGATTTTCAAAAAAGTGCCCAGCATTGAATATTTGTGCCTAAACCGTGCCTAAACCGTGCTAAAACTGTGCCCAAACTGTGCCTAAAATGTGCCTTAGTAATATTTAAAACGTGCCTTAACTGTGCCTAAAGTGTGCCTAATCTGTGCCTTTGCAAGTTTTTTTCCCGTGCTTTGGCACAAAAACCGTGCCTTTTCTTGAGCGCGAATCGTGCATAAGGCACGGTGTTACGCTCGTGTACACCAGTAGCGTGCGCCAAGCCATTACTAAAAACACAAATTGGCTCTCCTAGCAGAGAAGAAAGCCAACAACAAACTCAGGTACGCTGGCGACATCGCCGGGACTCGAAACCGACGGAGCCTCACTATAGTGGCTGGGATGCGAAGGCTCTCATTACCATTGAACCATACCTGCTCCCTTTCACAGCCATTGCCATCAAAGGCGATGGTGGGACTGCTGCCAGTGCCAAGCAATATGCAAAAATTTGATAGAGGCTTATTTAATTTGGAGCATTACGTTTGACTGATTAGTTTGCCTAGGTAGGTTTATCACTCAAATGCCACCTCGGTATAAATTTTATGTTTTCATGGAAAGAACAATATCTTACTCGTTCTCTGCGCTTATTCGTGAGATATTTTTTTTCTTGCCACCGAAACACAAAATTCATACCTTCTCGCCACCGTGTAATGTCCTCTATACATCATACTCAACCTCACCCGATAATTGCTTAATATCTAATAAAACAGATATCTAATAAATTTGCTAATATATGTCATAGCTCCGTTTTGGAACTTAACTGGTAGTCAGTTTTCTAATGGTCAATAGCAAAATTTCTTACCTGATTTTCAATATGATATTGAAACTGATTTCCAGTATACACCGAACCCTGCACAATGTGTGGCGAGTTTCTAATTGCAGCTGATTGAAAAAACAAAACAAAACAAAACAAAAGACAAAGAAAGAGTGTTATATACTCTACAAAAATATAATGATCTGTTGCATCTGTTTTGGAGCAAAATTTTTAAATCATTCGTTCATTAAGTTGATGGGTAGCCGGAAAAATGAAGGATTCTCAGAATCTATAAAGACGTACAATGCAGTGTAAAAAGTTCAGTTTTAAGGTGATTCCCTAGTTTTGCACTGCGCATCTCTTACTGCGCATAACAAGATGACCGCCGTCAAAAAGAGCATGTGAAGTAATATTATTAAAATGAAGTTGACTGAAGAGAAACTCTATTGGAATTTTTGCTTGCTGTTGTTTCTTGCCGAGGTGAGACTCAGTGTGTTGGGAATGTGCATAACGTAAGCAGTACGCGTGTTGCTGAGTTCGACCTCCTCTCGGAGAACCTCGATAGTGGATGTTTAACTTGTGCTTACTCACTCTGATTTTCATTTAAACACTTTCCTTATCACATTGTGTCCTAAATGTGATATCTAGATGTAAATTCTGTAAAAACGGATTTTTTAATACTTTCTTCCTCCTTTCACATGCATTCTATTTTGAAACTTGCCCCAGTCCTCTCTCAAAAATCGGAGAAAATGCGTTTGGTGCGCACTTTCTGCAGCTCTACTGCAAAAACGAGTACGGTGACCCCCATTTTTTATTTCATGATTTTAATAAGGACAGTGCTTCCTTTCGATGAGAAAAAAATTGGCACAAATCTATGTTCAGTTTTTTGGCAATTTTACTAAATTGTACGGATTGGGCCATCACGGGTCGAAAAGCGCCCGTCGAATTTAATTCTACTTTGGAGCGTAAAGTAAAAACAAGGGCATTAAAAGGCATTTTTCTCGTACGTAAGTGGATAAACAATACATTTAAGTCAAATTCTGTGTGATGTCACACGCATCATCGAAAAAATCTCTCCTTTTTGTCTAGTTTTGCGCTGCCCGCGGTTTTTGTAAAAGGGTCCTACAGAGCCGTATTTGTCAGCATTGTGACGTCAAAACGAGCACGGTGACCCCCACTTTTTATTACTTTTTTATCATCTTCCTGACTTGTTACATCAGTGTACCAAGTTTTAGCTAAAATCTATGTTAGGTTCTTTTACTATGGAATCACCTTACAACATGCTTATGACCCATCAAATGGTACGCTTGTTTCACCCACATGTTTATACGATTTAAAAACCTATAAATTTTAAGTGTCATTAAATTCAAAAAAGAAGCAGCCTACCATCTGCGTCGCCTTTCTTTAAAGCTGTATCCAGAGCTTTGGAAGTATATTCAACAGCATTTACGTCGAAGAACGAGTTTGCTTCAATGGCTTCGTCTATGGTGAGAATGGGACGCTTCTGTTCTTTGTACACAATTTTTACAGCTTTAGCTGCTTCATCTGCGTGTCGCTGGGTATCTACAAAAGTAAATTTATCAAGTACAACCATTGTGGACTGGTTTGAACGCCAGTAATTTCGTTTCATTGGTATTGTACATTAACATTTGCTGCTGGAACTGTTGTGTTGCAATTGTAATTATATTTCTCTAGAACTGCAATGTTATGGGAGTATACTCTACAGTAGGCAAATCTCAAATCTCCCTGACACTAACGCTAAAGGGACAAAGCTTAGCGTTGGCTAAAAAGAGATCTCTTATTACGTGACCCCTAAAGAGGAAGAGATTAACTGTGCTGAAAATTGGAACCCAGATAGATCACCCAACGTAAAGCGGGTCAGTATGAATGGTTAAGAGTTCAGTTTTAGCTCCTGGTATCGCCAATAGCCCATTTTAAGGTTACAGGTGAAAACGAGGCTGGAGTTGGCTTTTTTTAATACAACCCTTCCTGTTTTACTATGTAAATCATGCTGTTCTTATGTTAACTAGTATTTTTTAAACATAATTTCCATAAGAAAGGGAAAGAGGTTTGTATCAAAACAGGTCAAACTTAGCCTCACGTTCAGTCAAAGGCTAGGATACTAAGCCCCAACTGTAAAATGGTCTATTCCAACTTTACCTCAGATTTGCTTCTTTTAAAGGAGTCAGATGGCGTACAGAAAGGATACTCTAACCCCTTACCCTATTTCAGACCAAAATCTGCGATTTTCGCGATTTTTGAAGCCCTCCCTTTAGCCACTACAGCGACCACACTCTGTCAAATGTTCCCAATTACCCAGAACTCACTTCATTGAGTTAACTTGGGACCAACATGAACAAGGGTCAGTTAAATACCAGGTTATTAAACCATACTCTTTTTAGACCAAAAGGGCCTCTTATTTCTATCTGGCTTCACTCAAGGTTTACTCTCTAATTTGTATCATTTTCTTTGAAAACTGCCAAAATGGGTTAAAAAAGCTGTGGACTTACCAGCTACAATAAGACCCAACGCCTGGCCAGCAAATAGAACATTTCCAGTACAAAGTACCTGTGACACAAACACAACGTTATTGCCTTTATATAGTAAGTGATACTGAAGAACTAATATTGAATAAGCAATACGAGAGGGAATAGTTTTTATTATTAATGAAACCAGCGCGTGCTGTGATCGCTGATTGAGTCTTACCCGAAGGATCACACAGACGGATGACATCAAAAAAGCTCAAGTCGATGTATTGTACAATATGATCAAACGGTTTTGAAAATGTTTACACATTTAACGAGATAATTTCAGATTTAACAAGCGAGCCCTCGAATAAATAGCTTAGAAGAAGTTGTTTACGACTAGTAAGACACAGACGAAACCTAGAAGAAAAGAGTTTTTATGTCGACATGAAAACACCTGTAACAAACGAGCACTAGTACGAGGCGAATTTTTTCTTTTATTCTTCTACCTGTTGAATAAAACAAATAGTCCATTTTACGCTTTATTGCGTCCGATCCATAAATCCCGAAAGACGGGTAAGAAAGTAGAAAGTAACGCATTCATTCGCTCGCGGCTCTTTTGTAACTCTTCTGTTAAAAGCACACTTTTTGAGACGTCATCTGTCGATGGTCTATAATTGACAAGCGCGCTTTTCGATAATTTCCTTGTCTATTGAATGCAGATGGTAAAAATTATTAACGTAGATTTACTACAATCTACATAAAAAAAGTGTACAAATGTAGTTCAGAAATTACCTCTTCGGGTTCGAACTCAGATACTGGCATAAAATTGTTGACACCACCTTTGGGAATATCTGCAGCTGTGATATATTTGACTACTCCAGGTAATATCTACAAAGCAAAGAAAATTTCTCAATGCCGTGCATCCACTGTACAACTTAGCTTGTCAATCACAAGTTCGTTGAATTGTAGCTCTGGCTGAACTTATAGTTTGCAACAAATGATTATTTGATTGGTAGGAGGCTCCACAAAACAGAACCAAAAGAGAAGTGAAACGTCCCTTTTTTATGAAGACTACAATGTGCAAAGGGCTTTGCCGCGTGATTTGTCGAGGCCAAATAATACATGCATCTAAACAGTCTAAAGCTACGTACAAACGGACAATGTTGAGAGTTGTTGGACAACAGTGTTGCAAATGTTTGCACATAGCTAAACAAACTTTGCGCAACAACTCCCGACACCACGCAACAACTACAGGGTATCCAAACGGACGCAACATGTAACATCCAACAATGTTGGGAGTTGTTGTCCAACAATTTTGCGTCCGTTTGCATGCAGCTGAAGTTGATCTATCTAGCTCACGTTTGATATAATATATAGATTTAGCCAGGGCTAAAAGCGAAGCTCCCATTAATAAATTTATAATTTAAATCAAACGATAAACTTGTAATCCACAAATCGGTTAACTTAAGGGCACATTCATGTGACTTTTGAGGGAAAGGCGAAGTTATTTTAGAGTGAAACATCTTACATCGAGTTGATAGCCTTATATGTACACCCCAAAAATAGCAAACATGTTCGATCACATTCAAGAGTCATAATGGCTTCTTGATCACAGTAGATTAGGACTCAAAAACAAATTCTTGGAAAACAAATCAAGCCGAATTTTTTTTGCGTTCGACAGGTTTACTTTACAAATTCTTGCCAACAAATCTAGGGGTGTGTAAACCAACCTTTCATACTCTTTTAATATACATCACATCTGAGGTGAAACAATTCTATTTATCATACGAACCTCGGACAGAATGCGGCATTTCACAATTTTTCAAGACAAATTACACTTAGTCAATATTCAGGACGATCAATCGTGGGCTTTTAGCGAAACCGTTCAAAAAAATTCCAAAATCACCCATACGGCCAGCCGGTTCTCATTTCTAGTGCGAGCTGTCAGTGTGGTCGAGTGTTTGAATGAACTTTAATAGAGTTACCCTTCAACACAATAACGAATTTATAACTAAATATTCTTCGGATCGTTTTCTTTCTATTTGCGGTGAGAAAAGATATTGTGAAAGCCTTTTAAAGTCCTGTAAGCTTATATCAAACCTGACACTATGTCAGATCATTGACTCAAATCTTACAAACGTGCATAAACTTGCCGCATAAACTGTACTCGACTTCATGAAATTAGATATAACAAAAACAAACATCAAATACAATAATTACTCAGGCTTACCATTCGAGATTCAGTTCCTGAAAGCTATCAAGGAAGGCCACAGTTGGTTGCGACTTTTAAACCCTCTTACGCATTAAGCAAGGTAAAAACAAAAACGATGCCATCCGAAATCGGATTACCGAATTTTGACAAGCGACGCATTTCTCAACCAAAAACCCAATAAACAAACCAGCCATGAATAACAGAAGACTCTTGATAGAAGCTGTATTTCATTTTGTACATCCGGTCTAAAAAGGCAGTTAAAAACATCACAAGTTGACACAAAACTCTGTCAGCTTCAGCTGTCAAAGTAAACAACTTTCAAGATGCTGCATAAATTTTCCGCATGAACTCACCTGTCAAATTTTGACCAATCAGAGCATAAAAATTGGACGTAGAGCGTGACCAACGCGTGACCATGGTAAGAAAAGGTCTTCTCCGCCTGTATTTTTAAAAAACCTGGCTGAATTTTCGCGTCCGAGGTCAGTTTGAAATCAAAATCTTAATAGTGCGGGGCCATAATGACATAAACACAACAAATTTCATATGAATCACTGGAAAAAATAAACTTAAGCCAGCGATCATTTGAAGCTGGTAATTTGTCAACGGATAACTGCAAAAAAAGACTCGACCTCGATGGGTCGACACTTGAGCCCGCGGTATGGTCAGGTGATACTGGTCAGCGGATACCCTGTTTTGACAGCTGTCAATTGATCACAACATTGATGGGCAATTAGTTTTTTCCTGGGCTCCCAAACTCGCTAGAAAATGTGAGAGTAAACATTGGCTGCCCTGTGGTGCGGACGGACGGTCGTTCGTTCGTTCGTTCGGTGTACGGTCACGTCATTACCAAATTTTCTTGGATGGGTAGATTCCCTTAGCTATGGGGCTCCGCCCACGCGCGCGCTTCGCGCGCGCGTGGAGCTCCGCTATTAACATGACTATGAGGCTTTCTGGTCATATTTCAGTAGTTTGGTTGTCTTTGTGCTCAAGTCTCCTCTGCGTTTTGCGAGACAATGGAGCCGTGAAAACCTTGCAATTTTGTCCCTAAAGCCTTTACTACATCGAACGTGGACTATTGTTTTACTAGATCTCCTAATATATTTTACGATAAAACTGGAGTCACTAACCAATGCCTCAGATGCGTCAACAGAACTGATCTTGCAGTTTCCCTGCAAGTTAGAAAAAAAACATTACGATGCATTGTAGATGAAAATCTACGTATACCTACTATTTTTTTTTCAAGAATTAAAACTCATTCAGACCAGATAAACTATCTCACAAGACTATGTTGATAGAATATAATGAACTAAAATACAATTTAATATTATAAGGGTTCTTTCAATGAACGTTTCTTCTCATATTTCAATCATTACTTTTTTAAGCTTTACCGAAAACCGAGGCCGAAGGCCGAAACGAATAACACCCACCTTGATCTGGATAATTTTTTAGCTTATTCTCAGTCTCATCCCATAATTGCTAATAATTTTTCATGTTACACTCAGCTTCATCCAATAAGTGTTTATTGTTCACCGTTAAAATAATAGTAATGAAATCAACGTCTTTAATAGAAAATGGTTCATACCCGCTTGCTAACAACAAAGGCAGCGTGTAGTTCTCCAGGCACAGCTGGAATATCGGAAACATACTGAGCTTCGCCAGATGTCTAAAAATAACGCAAGTTCACAGGTTAAGTCGTACGTAACTCATCTAACATCGTTTTAACTGTCCGCGATTTAGAAAATAATAAAAAACGTTGGTTGGAGTGATGAAAGTTTTGTTTTCACCGGTTTTGTTGCTCCCTTTGTCGTCTTTCTTTCCAGAAAAGGGAAAATCTTAATCTGCAAAGAGTAGAAGGGTGAATAGCAAAATTTGCAGCGTACTTTTAACCAAAATGTTTCTTGGAAACTTTGTCATAACTGTTCCAAATTAGCAAAATGAGGCCCTTGGAAAGATCTTTGCTTGCTTATTTTGCTGCTTAACATATCTATATCTTAAATGGAAAGCTAAATTGGTCTAGGAAGGAAAATATATTAGAACTTTCCATATCAGAAAACCGACACGATCAAAGCCGTCGTCAAAGGGTTAATTAACTAGCTTTTTGATCCTTTACACACACGCAATAGTTCTTATTTACCTGTACTTTGGCATTAAGTTTATTCAAGGGTTTTGTTAGTGGATATTGTTGTGGCTTTGAGTCATAACTCTGTGCTCCACAAGAAATAGGACGAATGAAGGTCATAGCCGCTGATCTTACTCTTGCAGATGCTTTATCACCAAGAGCAGACAAAAAGAACTGTAAAACACAAGTATAAATGATTAGTTTTCGTACGTAATCCTCGTTCTCTACGACAACTAATAATTTAAAATCAATAAGTCAAGACAAAAGTCGCAGTGTGTAGGACCCGTTCTGTAAAGGTCGTCGTGAATAGCCAGTAGAAGTACTTCTTTAAATAATTTAGAATGAAATCTTGAGGAAGCTATTATTTTTTTTAATTTTCATCGGTTAAAAATTGCACAATAAAAGCATCAATTTGGGATATTGTCTGACAATAAAAGCATTAATTTATATCTTATAGCTTTTAAACACACTTGTCCTGGTCGGCAGTTCTTACTTGAAAAAGAAAATTGTAGATAATAATATAAAATTGTTTAGTACTTTGTAAAACAAACCAAGTGCTAGCGATTTTCGGTATTTTTTGCTTGAACCTGTAGGAAAAGAATGAGGAGAAATCTCCTGTTCCAGAACTTCAAGGGCACCTGAAACAAACAAAGATCTACACGAGTTATTGAAAACCAGACCGATAAATGGCATAAGACGAAAACGAAGAGCTGAAGAAGGAACATTTATAAACCGTATATCTCCGGTTATTATAACAAGGAGATCTATGGTCCTACGAATAATTTATTACAAATATACATTTGAGTAAACTTCTTTTGTGGACAGCGGTTGATTTACCTGTTAGAGTATTTTCCTTTGTCAAGTTTTTACCAGTCAAGAATGCCTCTGTTTTAACGGCGTGCATCTGTGGTGTCGATAAAGACAGTTATTAAGTAATAAGATATTCCATTACTCAACAATGAATTGTTGGTAGTATAAATGAATTGTAACTATCAAAATCAAAATAAGAGTTATAAGTATTAATCAAATGAGTGAATAGCAATTTTCGCGCGTTTTGATTGGCTACCGTAACTCGGAATATCCTTGGTTATTCACTGTTTTGCGAACGGAGCAAAGATGGCGTCTCGTTTCGAGACATTTTCGGAAGACTAAATTTGAGCGATAAAAGAAGCACTCGTACAAAAAAATACCAAGAAAGCGACGACTTTCAGCTTGTCGGTGTTTACTGGTAGTTAGAAAATTATTTTCTTGCTGAATTTGCAAGAAAATCGTTAAAACGCACTTGACCGCAAATCCCCGAAATGTTTGTAAATTGTAAACAAACTTCCTACTAAGTAACATTTTTAATTTACAAAAAAAGTTACTTTTTTTCATTTTTGTTCAGCTGATTTGGTAAAGACTAAAACAACTATTCCCCTCAGGGTCGGTGAACAGCGCTAGATATATACCTCGACGCTTCGCGTCTCGGTATATTCACCACTTTTCACCTTCCCTTGGGGGCATAGTTGTATACTATGTTTGGAAAAAACTGGGTTGGGTGACCAATAACAAAGAGGTTATCGGAACACAAACTATAAACGAGCCCATCCGGTATCTGACAAGTAACCGGGAGGAGAAACTAGATGGATGTCAGGGTTCTATCTAGGATTCATCAATTGGGGTTGAAGTCCCAAGTGGCCGAGCTTCCAAGCGGGATCCGAAGGCATGTCCCCCCCGGAACTTGTGATATAGTGTCTTAAGACAGGGAATACTTACTTCATGTGCACTACCCTTATAACGTCTGGATGATTTTTCCAGTATAATGACTTGTATACTGTAATGATAGCAATATATTTGCGGGGGGAAGCTTCTACCCCTAAAATACCCTAGATACAACCCTGGATGTTTTTGATTCTTATTAAAAAACACACAGCAAATAAATGCTAACCTTCACATCAATCGGTCGTCAGATCGTCTCTAGTTAGAGTCAAGATTTAAGAGCATACCCGTTAACGTGACCAGATTAAAAAATGCAACCTATAAAAAGGCTTTGAAAATATGTGGAGTAAACTGATCTGCTATCTTCTGCTTCACTTTGTAAATGCTTCCTTTACGGCTTGATTTGTCATAATTTGTCAGAAAGTGAGTCTAGTCCGTCAGTAAAAAATTATAAAAAATGTTCTTACAGAAAACGGTGTTATTCCAGCGTACACAATCCTAACATTATTCAAAGTCATGGTGTTCTTGTCCAACTTGGCCACAAAACCAGCATTCACATATGCATGAGCATTCTGAAAATAAGGATATTTTATTTACAATAATGATGAATAAGGGTCGTATAAGACAGCTACAACCAGAAAACGTTCCTAGAAAAAAATTATAAAACGTAGGTACTGATTAACTTGAAAAAACGTCCCATCTTTCCTAACCGAACTCTTTAAAAACACAATACAAAGGGTGGCTATTTTAACCCATCGTAAATGGACTGGTCTTAACAAAAAAGAAATGAAAAAATCGAGGTATTAACTGCAAATTGGTCATTTTTTCTTGTGTATGAACGACAATATAAATAATACTTTCCAAAATATGTAGGCGCAAAATTAATGGCAATAAGGTTTATCATATGAAGGTATTTTTACTAAATAGAATAACGACAAATAATTTTGGAACAGTAAGCAACTTCAAGCTGATCTCCTAGTGAGGACATCTTTTATTAATATCATATTCTTACCTGAGATCTTGGCATGACTTTGTGGGTGAAAATGATATAGTCACGTGATAAAACAGGTAACATAACAGCCAAGATGACCTGTGAGAATGTGCGAAAACTCTTTACAGTAGTTCCAGTACAGTGTATTTTATAAAGCTCTAATTTTAAGTTAACCCTTAAGAATTCTAAGAGCAATGAATCGTATCACTGGGCCTCTTCAGCAAATCAGTTACTGAGTTAAGACTGCCAATCTGAAAACCTTTTATCAATGGAGTCGAAAAGGATGTGTGATGCAGCTTTAAGAGTTGCCAAAGCAAGCATTTGTGTTTCGCCATGCTTGCTTTGTTTCTGGAATTCCGCACCAGAACTCGTCCCAGGATCTTTTCTTTTACGACCTTGTCAACGTTTGACAGAATAAGAAAGAAAACTTGGAATTATTAACTGAAACGGAAGTAAGTGAAAGGCAACACTTTTCAGTATCGTCTCTATGAGGAAAAATTGTTTTCTCCATTTGAAAGGCTTTGTACTCACAAAACCAACTGTTTAAGTGCCCTGTTTAAGTGATTTTTTGTGGGTTGTATTATATATTCTTTGAATTATACGCAAAGTTATATTCTCTTGTTTTTCCACTAAAGACGTAAACAATTACTGATAGGAAGTAAACAATTCACGAACCTTGCCAGTCATATCAAGAGAAAGAAATTCCAACAAGGAATACTGAGACTCACTTTCTGTTGTACTGTCACCTACAGGAAGATGAGAAGTTCAAAAAACACTGATAGAGATATATTATTGCAATGTTATTATAGATCTGCGAATTCTTAAACACAAACCTGGTCCTATCGTTTTTATTACTGTCCATACAAGAATCTTACCGATAATCAGGCATGCTCCAACCGCTTCAAGAATGGTGAAAATATCAGAAGGAAAACCAGAGTGGGCATGCGTCAACATTAGATTCCCTGCAATACCACCAACCTAGCCAAAAGTCATTACATATGCGTTATTGACCATGCAAGAGGTCAAGATGGGTGAATGTTTGCAAAGAAAAAGAACGAGGCTAATATTAATCACCTAACGACTGATCCATAAGGAAACAGTTATTTTTGTTTCCCGAGAACTAATGAGCAAAAATGTAAACAATGACGTCACGAATAATCCGCCTATAGCTGGAGATTTTTGAAGCTGGAAGAAATTCATTAAACCTCGCTGTAACTGTGCTCTTCGGTCAACATTTGACAGAAACAGGGCACTGTTACCTTCTGACGTCATAGATTATGTAATGTTGCCTGCCCGCTCAGTGATTTTGGCCAGACACAGTTTCATTGTTAGATGTCATGTGACCTCGAAGAAACCAATAAGAGTGCGCGCTGTTGGGAAAAAATTTACAGCTATATATACACGCTCGGTCAATAAGGGATTTATGTGGCCAAAAAGATAAGTTGTTCTTGAGGGACAAACGCGAATAATCCCCAAGCTGGCAAGATTAGCCATCTTGCTTGGGTAGCCAATCAGAAAGCAGAATTCAATTCATCTTGGTCGCTCGCGGATTCAGCCATATCATAATCTTGATTAGATTTTCCATCTTAGGAGAAGATAAGAAATGAGACACGCTTACAAACAGCTACTAAAGAGGGCATCATTCTTAGATGAAAAATCTACACTCTACCAACTCAATGTTCAAAGTTTAGGCGTAAAATGTTAACTGAAGGCAGGAGCCCAAGGTTAAAATAAACACTTGATGCTCTTTCAAGTGGGATAAGTTGGTCATCTTAACACCTTAGCAAATATCTAAAGGATTCACCTATTAAGGTACAGTTATACACAGTCATATTTAGGGAGTTATTATAACTCAAAAAATGGAGTAAAGATTTTAGGTACAGGATAACCCCTTTTATGGGGTTACTTTAACTCCTAATTTAAGTCTAAATTTGGGGTCATTTTTACGCCTGAAAAAGAGTTCTTTTAACTCCCAGTCTGGAGTTAAAATAACTCAGAAAAGGGGTTATTTCTACTCCTTACATGAGTTGTTTTTACTCTTTTTGGAGTTAGTTTAACTCTGAAAGTGGAGTAAACATTTTAGGTACAGGATAACTCCTTTTGGGGGGTTATTTTAACTCCTCAATATCTGAGGTGATTTTTACCCCTGAAAAGGAGTTCTTAATACTCCTTTTTGGAGTTAAAAAACAAATAACTCCACTGTGAGTAGTTAAATTAACCCCACGAAAGCAGTTATTATAACTCCTTCAAAATTACTGTGTATGCCTATAATATCATTTAACCGGATGAAATATTGAATCACTCACATTTCGAACAGGAACATTTGCAACCTATGAAGGAGAAAAGTAATGATAACTTTACCTTTAATTTATTTATTTGAGTATTATTTATCAAAAACGCGTTGAAATATGTAGATACATGTATAAAAATAGCCCTCCCTAGTCCTGAACACTAAATGTAAAAGAAAAAATGATTTTCGACAGCTAAATCTGAATTAATTGGGTTGAACAATCAGATACATACTCTGCATAGAGACCATCGATTGACGCAATTATCTTTTTTTAAATCAGCAAACAAGAAAGTTTTAACCTGACTTGTCAGTACTGTGGGTTAATGCACTATTTCGTTCTGCTAACTGCTAAGTTGGAGTAAGGTGTTTTTTCTCTTGGTTGGGGTAATAGATGATACAATCTTATCTTTTATCCTTTCACTTAAAAACTACTCTTTTGGCTTGCGGAAAAATTATTCAGATCTTTTTACGTTCTTTTCAGATTCTTTTTCAACAGCTAAAAGGTTGTCCGTTTAACTACAAGGAACATTTTCACTTTAAGAAATATTTTACCTTACGTATGTGATCAGCCATCACATTAAAGCCTTCCCATGTACTGGCTATGTTATTCAGTACACTTACAAAGCTGTTTAATGACAGCCCAGCACCAATTTTAATGCTACCATACAGTTCCTACAACAAAGAAGAACGACATCCTAGTCATAATCTTTTTCAAAAAATTAAATGTCAAGATTTATATTTGTAGACGAGACTAATTTGTTCACTTGGCGCACAAGAATAGAATTTATAATTAATAAGTAAAAAAAGAAAGTGACGAGGAGAGAAAAGATTGCGTAAAAAAAAGTCAAAAAATAATTTAAGATCTGTCTACTATTTCGACTGTTGTAAGAATTTTTTTTTTAGTGTAGAAAATGAGATGTAATTTCAAATCTTTTCTTTACAAGTGGATGTTGGAACCTCTGGCTTTACATAAACTTCATGTTCTATGCCACTGAAGTTAAAAGGCGTTTCGGCTTCACTTTCAATTTTTTAACATTACCTGGGTATTACTCGGAACGTTGTGCAGTTCCTCTATCTGATTAATGTCAATTATCACATCAAAAGGGCCGTCATTCTTGTAAATGCCTACAAGTAATAATTTGCTCAGTCATTAACAGTAGCTATAAAACGCACATTTTCAAGGACATAAGCATCTTCCCAGCGTTCAGATGGTGAGGAATGACGAAGTAGAAAGTGGAGTGAGAGAAAAGGAGAAGGAAAAGAAATTCTTTTCGCCGCTCCGTTCTACCTTCAAGGAAGCTAGAATCTAAAACTTTATTCACACGGAGAAAAGGACACGAGGTTATAGGGAAAATCTCTCTTTGACTGCGCGAAAATGGGGCGTCTTATCGGTGAAGTCCCCGCCCGTAAGTAGATCCTAGTTCTACTGACCCGAGCAGGGCTGCTAAGGAACTAGAAGCCGGGGAGAGTCGACACTCTTAGTGAGTCCACTAAACGCTCAAGAAAGCGGGGAGAAACTGTCGAACAACATTAAAATGCAAAAACATTCGCCCTATGAACATTTTATTTTTGGTATAAAATGTTAGTCACGCAACGGAATACAAACGTATGTCATAAAATTAACGATAGCCTATAGCCCTCGAATACTGGATACCGATTAGGAGCCTCGATCGTAAACGAGGAATCTAAATAAACTTTATAATGTTAACTTATTAAAATCAAATTTTTACCACTGTCTTTTAAAGAATTGGATATCAACTAGAGAGATGATCTGGGTGGGGATATCCGTCTCTTGATATAACACTGAATATTTTCGCTTTAAAATTTCCCCTTTGCCGCCATTCAATCACAAAGCACAGTTTGGGAATTTAGAGGCAAAAGAGGACGATTTTCTTAGCAATAATCTATTCAGTTCAAAATTTTGGCTTTTCTCAGGGGCACCCAACGAATGTCTCTCCCTAAACACATTGATAACACTTTCTAAGCTTTTCAGAGTACCTTTAGATTTCGAGAGATGCATTCTAAGCAGCACTATGAAATTTGTATCTGCTCGGTCATCCAAGGGAACTTGAGTCTTTTCGAAATTACTAAGGCTTTGGTATTATTTTCCCGAATATTTAAGATGCAATTTAACGTATTATGAAAGTAACAATTTAGAGTTTCCGATTCCTCTTTCCATCACTTTTTTTGAATCCGAAAATTTCAGGTTTCGTTTTTTCTAAAAATAGCCTAACCTGGAAAGTGAAATGTAAAAAAATAAAACTTCCGAAAAACGTAGGGAATTTGTTACAAAAGCTTCGAAAATTGTACATGGATGGAACCGTTCATCAACAAATTTTTAGCGATCCTCAAGATATAGAAAATTCCAGGCAATTTTTGCTTCTCCGAACAGATATTTTCAGAAAACAGTCGTTGAGTGCCCCTGTTTTCTAACTATAGGCAAAGGTCTTTATATTTACCTTGTCCAGTATTTCCAGCCACCAGCCTGACTTTATGTTTCTTGTGTTTACTCATCAATGCATACAAATCAGCTTTTGACTTTGGACAATACCACAGCACATTCGCTTCTCGATCACCAGATAATGTCACACATTTTCTTGAACAGTTTACCTCTTTATTAAAACATGGACTTGAGCACTTGTTTATTTCCTATCAGAAACGTTGTCCCAAACGAATTACAGTGGAATCTCAACATAACTAATCTCTAAATAACAAAGTCCTCGTTATAACGAACGAATTTCGTTCCCCCAGCAATAGTAAAGAATATGAAAAAGAACCTCGATCAGCCTCGATCTATAACGAAACCTCGTTAAAGCGAACAAATTTTGCCAGTCCATTGGCCCTTCGATGTATTGAGGTTCCACTGATAATTAATTTTGTTCTTGAAGGTTTCAAAACGTTTAAGTGGGAACTGTTGTGCTTTTTCATTTTTTTTTTTGTCATTTTGTCTTTCGTAGACCCTCCCCGACCCGTTTCTCAATAGTTAGCAAGGTTATGGTGCGTGAAATTGTGAAATTATTTAAATTTGGTTCGTGTGGACTGAACATATCCACTATAGGTTTATACTTGTCACAAAAAAGAAAAAGGCCGAGGTGTTTCAAAGAGGATTGAAAGGGTAAGTTTAATGTTGTCTAATTCGAAAGACGCAAAGGTCAATGTTTGGTCCAGTTTTTCTAACACTGTCAAGTTTTCAATGCTTTGTCATTGTTCAGTTCAGCAAACAGCAGGCTATGAAATGTCTTGTAAGTTCGTTGGAATAACGATGAAGACTGCTTCGCTCGTTAAAGTCAAATGTCTACGCTTTCAAACGAGAGTAGCCATGGGTTACTGTGGATGAGGTCTTTGATGACTTTTATGAAAAATGAGTCCGGTTAAGCCGTAAATACCTCGATATCTATAGGATCTGAGGATTTTGCAAACGTCTTCATTGCATCTAGAATTGGACGGTAACCTAACGATGTAACGATAAAAGGAAGGCGATTATTGGGTCCTGAAACATTACAGTTCACCATTTTGACCATAATGCACCCTCTTAGTGTCGTCGGGAGCTAGGCTGGGAAAAGGAAAATAGAAGCACGCGGGGGATGACGGAAAGCGAGGCGAGGCTCTCTCTCTCTCTCGCCCTCTTCCCATTGTACTCCACGCGCTTAACACTTTCTTTTAAAATTCTTTTGAATCCCAGCGGGAGAATCTACGGAGGAGAGACGTCTTAGAGTAGTAGATGAAGTGTTTTGTAGTGAATACTACGATCTAAATTAAAGGTCCAGTCGTCAAGGTGTACATGTCTTAAGGCCAGTGGTAAACATACCGCTAAAACCAGGCGTTCACTCAAGTCAAATTCACAGTAACTGTTAAAGTTAAACCCTAACCTGTACAACGGCACATGTTCCCATCAAAGCTGTCCTCAATTTCTTGCTTGGACGGACAACGATTCTCTTTCAACAAACTGGCATAAAAACAAAGCAAATTGGTAGAAGAAGGGTCCCAAGATTTTTAAACCAATTTCAAACTGCACAAATCCAATACAAGAAATGTGTTTCGTGAACATCACTCCATACAGACCTATACATGCTCATGACAAATCCTGGTGAACAATAGCCACACTGACTTCCGTTATGATCCGCAAGTCTTTCCTGGATGGGATGATATCCGTCAAATCGACTGCAATTCAGAAAAAAGTATTTTTTTTACCTTAAACCTGCAAATGTTGTAACTAACTTCTATTTCTAAGGCGTTCTAAAAGATATTCTGAACCATTCTAAACGCCGAGGCCAGGAATGTGTTAGAAAAACTCGAACTAGAAGAAGTCATCACGTCTTTTTACACATTCAACGCACTAAAAACTGTAAAATTAAAACTGCATTGACTGAACCGGCTCGAAGAGCGAAATATATCTCGAGGTTTTTATTTTTACAGTTTTTACAGTTTTTAGTGTGTTAAATATGTAAAAACACGCGGTGTCTTCTTTTTTAGTTCGAGTTCTAAAAAAACTCTAAAACGTACAAATTCAAGTTTATCAGTAGTGAACGTAAACTTTAAAAAAACTCTGAAGGCTCCAAGGTCCCTCTTATTTGACTCTCGTGTTTTAGTTTTAAAACGGCTCGAATATAATGTTAAAATTCGGCCAGTGAGATTTAGGATCAAGACGTAAAAGCGGTAGTCCTCTTGGGAGTGTACGCTCTTAAACTTCCCATGCTTAGAACAGTTTTGGTAAGATGCGAGCCTGAAGAGAAGAAATGATGGACGAGGAAATCAGAAAGGGAGTAGGAGAACGTTCTGAAGACTGGCGACCATTTTTACAAATAGAAAAAGAAGCACGATAAATCAAAAAAATCAAGCTTAATTATTTTTGCACAGCAGCTTTTCTAATGCGTTAAAGAATGCGCACAAATCGTCAAACTTAGATCTTAATGGAAACAGATTCGTTTGCGCTTGATGGTCCCCACTGATAGTAGAAGCACGTTTCTTTACTTCTATTGTACAAACAAGCAATTTACAGGTTTTGTTTATGAAACTTAATTTTACTTTAGAACGCATTTGACGCTTTGGAAGGTGTACTGACCCCTACTATCACGGCATGCCTATTGCCAGATATGATAAATAAAGAACGTACGCGGCAGAGTAAACACATAAGTTTGCGTGCGACACTTACTTTCCAATGCCTTCAACTGTCGTGATAACCGCACCATTAGAAGCACACAATGGGAATAGGCACTAAAAGAAGGTTTCAGTAATAAACATGAACAAGTAGGTATAAAAACTTAGCGTATAAGGCCCGGGAGTACTTTGTTATATGGCCTCGGTACGGGGATGTGCCTCTGAACAGGGTATGGTTTCTGTCTTCTCTGTCCTAAACAGGCTATAAGGATAAAGTGGAATTGATGTGTTTGGGGGCGGGACTTGTCTTATGATATTTGGCGTTTAACAATCCGAAGGACTGGATATACACCACCAACATTCCTTTTTCTGTAAGTTAAATTTAATGAAGTCATAAACTCAAAGGACTGCTAAAGAATTTCACTTTTAATTTCCATATGAACAAGTAAATAAAAGAAACATTTATTCATCAATAAATGAATTGAGAATTTTTAAATTTTAGCAGTTCTTAATACAGTCTCCGTTTTCTTTATTGTAAGTCAAGCATTTCTCTTACAATTTTATATCGCATTGAAGGAGTACTTACCGAGTTGACAGCAATTATAACATCTTTGCCAGTGCTCAGATCATTCCTTGTTACTGACACAACACAACAGCCACACCCTCCCTCACGGCACATTACTTTTGTACCTAGATGCATCAAGTTTCAAGAAAACATAAACATATGAAAATTTTTTGGTGAAATTAATTTTTAACAGAACAAGATTGTGAACAGACTACGTAGTATTCTGTATCAGCTTAACCAAGCGGTTGTAGATTCTAAATTCTTTTTATCTGCTCATGGTAAAAGCGGAGGAAGGTTATTTCGAATTGATAGCTTGAATGGAATAATGCCGGTGGTCCATATTTTTCTTGGGTTTAATAAAGGAAAGGAAACACAAGCGGGCTTAAAAATCGGAACTCAAATGTAACGCTAACCACAACCCTGACCTACCAATTTTCGTGCGCGTTTGCAGTTTACGCATTATTTACTATCCCTGAGAAAATAACGCATTACTCGTAGCCGATTTCGCCGAGCACTTATCGTCTTATCGTAGGGTTACCTCAGCGGAAGCAAATTAAACTCCTTGGAAGGTCATGGTTATAAATTAAGAGTGAAAGGTTACTAAGGTCGATGCAACATGTTATCTTCGATCCTAAAAGTACCTTGCAGTCCATGCTGATCTCTAATCCATTCGTTCAGGCTCATGGTCGGATCAGGATTGATAACTTTATATTGTGTACCATTCACAGTGAAGGTGATCTCACCGACAGGGAAGGGGACGAACTCTGATGACACGTCTTTGCCACATGTCCTGTATTTGTCTTTGCAAGGGCCCCTGGATGGTTCGAGTTATCGAGGGTAAAATTATAGAAATGATCGGACAGAAAACAAAAATCACTTCAAGTTAGCGGGATGCTCGAGTTATCGAGGGTTCGAGTTACCGAGGGTAAAATTACTAGTAAATGTATGAACGAAATCCAGAGGAAATCGATTTTGGTTCGAGTTAGCGAGTGTGTGGATCTCGGGAGTCAACTGTATAACCTATTATTGAATAATTACTGGAGCGAGACATATCCTCCCAGGGTAGTTGATGGTGAACTGAATCTAGAGGAGCAAGTTCACTACTGAAAACGATGAATTTGGGTCAGTCAAGCTAAGTGAATTGTCTTTTCATTTTCAATTTCTTTACTGATGCTTTTTCAACTAGATGTTAAAAGGAAAAGTCGTAAATACACCTATTTTGCATTGGAATCAAATAGAATTATTTATATTCCACTGATTATATATATTCCACTCCATGAAAAACGCGGGCCAGGAATATCAATTAGTGTTCGCTTGTTGAGGAGAGCTTAACTAAAATATTTTTAAAAGATATAGCTTCCGAATATCAATGTTTGCTGATAAGCGATGCGGTATACATTTTCCTTACTTCCTAAGAAGCTTCTTGGAAATGTGAAACTACTATTGAACCCCGTGATTGCAACAGCAACATCATCGTTATAAATGAAACTGGTGATTGACTTGTTGATGTTGTTGTATTGTACTGTAAAAGTTCAAACCGAAGCTAGGTCAATTGTTGTGTCTTACCTGGCCATACAGGTAGGGCACTCCAGATACAGTTGGCCATTTATGCAACCTGGTTTGTTCTCCAAAGGCATTGCTCAGTAAAAAATCTGTCTCAGCTGTCCGTCGAGCGAGGTCCTGCTCTATGCGAATCAACAGACTGTGAAACTTATGCCGATTTATTAAATTAAAACAATTGAAATTAATTCGCGATGAACCTGGGAAAAATGCGGCGCTTATTACAGGAAGACGCTCTGACTGAGTTAGGACGGTACAAAAGGCTTTGCTTCTGTACCAAGGAATTTCGTTCCCTACGGAATGAGACAATAATGAATAATGGCAACATATTTAATTCAAACACTTGTAAAGTCTAAGACTTTGTAGTACAACAATAAAAAAATAGCATAAAAATAGCTAATTCATCTTTAACACCAGTACTGTACAAAACGTATGTTAAATTTCCGAAATTATAAAAGCACTAAGGCCCGGTTCAGACGCCGAAATTTTCATGAGCCGAACCTAATTCGAATCAAGGCCGACCCAAATTATTAAGACCAGCTGAATTGATTCAGACGCCGATCTTACTTGCAGCTGAACTAAGTTCAAAACGCGAAAAATGCTCATTTAGGTCAAACTGCTTACAAAATACATTTTAACAATTTATGCATTAGGATCATTAGGTTCGGTACATGAAAAGTTTGGCGTCTGAATCAGAACCGTCCCAAAAGTCGCTCCAAAGGCGAAATTCCAGGCCGCGCTAGGCGAACAGAACGGCTGAGCCGTTCCAAATTGAAACAGCCGTTCCTAATTACGTCAGACGCCGAACTTTTCATGTACTTAATTCAATGTATTAGGTTCGGCTCATGAAAAGTTCGGTGTCTGAACTGGGCCTAAGAAACATTCCATGGTCAATTCAACAATTATAGTTAACCTAACAAATGCTAAGTGGCTATTTTGGATTCTTTGTTGGTAAAACTTGCTAAACCACAAGAAAGTTCAAAACCTTTACAAATCTAACATGATGGACCATTTTTACGATGGCGTCATTTAAATATAAACAGCAGACGTTTTGTTTCACCTGTTATTTAAACTGTAAAAACAACAATAAAAAAATATCATAAAAAAATAGCTAAGGCCTAGTTCAGACGCCGTACTTTTCATGTGCCGAACCTAACTGAATAAGTTCGACTTTGGAGCGACACTGGCGCGACATCTGATTCAGACGGCGTACCGTGTGTCGAACCTAAGTTAAGTTCGACAAAAGTTCGACAGACCCTGTCGAACTTAACGCTTTTGCCGCACCAAACTAAAACTGCCATACCAAATTGATTCAGACGCCGCTCTTTTGCTGTACTTAATTTATCAGTTAGGTTCGGCACATGAGTGGAGCGGCGTCTGAACCAGGCCTAATTCATCTGTAACACCAGTATTGTACAAAACTTATGTTAAATTTCCGAAATTATAAACGCACTAAGGCTCGGTTCAGACGCCGAACTTTTCATGAGCCGAACCTAATTCGAATCAAGGCCGATCCAAATTATTAAGACCGGCTGAATTGATTCAGACGCCGATCTTACTTGCAGCTGAACTAAGTTCAAAACGCGAAAAATGCTCCTTTAGGTCAAACTGCTAACAAAATACATTTTAACAATTTATGCATTAGGTTCGGTACATGAAAAGTTCGGCGTCTGAATCAGAACCGTTCCAAAAGTCGCTCCAAAGGCGATATTCCAGGCCGAGCTAGGCGGACAGAACGGCTGAGCCGTTCCAAATTGAAACAGCCGTTCTTAATTACTTCAGACGCCGAACTTTTCATGTACTTAATTCAATGTATTAGGTTCGGCTCATGAAAAGTTCGGCCTCTGAACCGGGCCTAAGAAACATTCCATGGTCAATTCAACAATTATAGTTAACCTAACAAATGCTAAGTGGCTATTTTGGATTCTTTGTTAATAAAACTTTTTTGTTTTTTTGTTTTTTGTTTTTTGTTTTTTGTTTTTTATTGCAAGTAATACACACACAGAAAAGAAACAAAAATTACACAATAAATAAAGTAATAAAAAAAAAAAAGTGACAAATAAAGTAACAAAAAAAAAAAACAAATAGCGAATTTACACACTTACATGGCAATATACTTACAAATATTAAAATACATTACAGCAATGGTAATTCCATATATTACTCTACTTAGTATAATCTATAATTAATTTTTACATTTTTTTTTTCTTTCTTTGTGGTGAAAGTAATATAAATACTCATAGTAGGTGCACTAATTTAAGTTAATAAAACTTGCTAAACCACAAGAAAGTTCAAAACCTTTGATGGACCATTTTAACGATGGCGTCATTTAAATATAAACAACAGACGTTTCGTTTCCCCTGTTATTTAAACTGTAAAAACCTCACTTGGAATATGAAAGAAAAATCGTGAAGCGCTGTGGTAGTTCTAATGACGTCATCGCGGCCTGTATAATTAGGCTGATTTGGCTGAAAGCAACAGAACGAGAACGTCAGGTGACGACAGGACGCACACTTCATCAGGGAGTTTTACAATATAACTAAGAGTACCTGTATATATGTATATACCTCAGTAAAAGCGAACTGAGTTTAACATAAAACACAAAACATCTACAGATTTGCGTAAAGGAACTGCAAACCTCGTGGTTATACGTCCAGGAAATAGGCGGGAAAATATTTCGCAAGGTGTGACATATTTGTAATGTTTTGGGGCCCATTTTATGTAAAACTCAGTTCCTTTTTAGCTATATATACAGGTACTCTTAGTTGTATTGTAACACGCCCTGATGAAGTGTGCGCTAGTCACACGAAACGCGTAGGAAACAATAAAAAATTTTACAACTCAAGAAGTTCGCAAAGTGCTGCTCACTGGTTTATCCTTTTTAAAATATTTTTAAAATATTCGGCATTTCCTTTACGCAAATCCGTAGGCGTTTGCGTTGTACCGTAAAATTTCGAAAATAAGCCCCTCCATGTATAAGCCCCCCAAACTCGTAACGCAAAAAATCTTGTACTTGGAAATTGTCCTGTAGTACAAAGAAAAAAAAAAGAAAAACAGTAAATTTCTTTCCAAAAATAAGCCTAGCCCAATCGATTTTGAAACGCAAATTTCCCTCCGTACATAAGCCCCTCCGAATATGAGCCCCTCAAAAAGGGCCTTTGAAAAATATAAGCCCCGGGGATTATTTTCGGAATTTTACGGTATGTTAAACTCAGTTCGTTTTTAGGTTTTTATACAGGTACTCTTAGTTGTATAGTTAAATTCCCTGATGAAGTGTGCGCTAGTCACACAAAACGAGTAGAAGACAATAAAACAATTTTTCAACTCAAGAAGTTCGCACAGAAGTACTGCTCACTAGTCTATCCTTTTAAAAATATTCTAAAAATATATTTAAAATATTCTTGCACGTAGCTTAAGATAATACATCCTCGGAGACCCAGGGGCAGTCAGTCAGTTTTCAAGCACAGGCGGAAGAGCCCCTGGGTACCGACTCTCACTGGACCATTTCCAAACGGTCAAGTGAATGCTGGCTCCTGATTGGGCACAAAAAATGCTTTGTATTATTGTGCCCAATCGGGGAACAGCATCTCCTGAGTTCTTTTCGTGAGTTCGTACACGACGCGACAGCTATTGACTCGATCACGGCTTGTCTGGCTTATGCACCAAACAAATGCACTCAGTCAGGAAACTTTCAGTTTGATATAAACACTTTATTTCAAAATACTGGTTGGTTGTCTTTACACTAGGCTGTTAAGTAAGACTTAAGAGCCGCTAAGTTTTACTTAACCAAAAATGCGTGTGTGAAGGCCTAAGTAAAATCTCAAGTAACTTTGCTTTGCATCTCATTAAAGTCGGAAAGTTGAAACGATTCAAGAAAGTTTCAAGCGACTTGAAAACCATCCTTATGGCCTACTTAGCTGACTTGCGGTTTTGCGGTTTCTTGAGCTTTGAGAAAGGCGAGACATGTCAATCAATCTTAATTTTGTTGCGTGGGAAAATAACCTGAAGTAAAAAAGAATCGGTTGTGTGTGAAGCTTTATTTTACTTGAAGTAATTAAAATTTACTTGTCTTGAAATATTTCTTAGCTTATTTAGGCTCTAGTGTAAAGACTACCACTGTCTACCCGAAAACTAAAGACGCTTTTCCAAAAATACAAGCTTGAGCTTACAACAGGTATTCACACTTGCATCGATCATGCCTTCGTAGATCTTAAGGAGTTTAAGATTCCACGACAGCTGACAGCCACGAACACGTCGCATGAAAAGTGAATTCACATTTTTCCAGTCTCTATCGTGATTATCCCAACTCGCTTACTTTGTCAAATGCAAGCGAACTCTTCTGCAGCTGATTTTCTATCAACCATATCCAAGTTCATAAAGAGAAAGAAAATTTTGTCATTGTTTGTTTACCTTCTTCACAAAACCTGAAATTAGGCATCTTCACGTGGTAGTCGTGCAGTGACGGCAAAGAAATCTGCAAAATGCGTGATGCACGTGCAAAATTGTTGTTTTGCCTTGTCAAACTATTGCTTTTTTATTATCTCGTCGCCGCCGCATATCTTAAACTTCCTATTACCTGATTATTTACGATACATTGTGATCCGTCAGAAACAGAATTTTCTCAGTGCAAAATGAATTGTTCCTGCTGATAGCATCCGAAACGTTTTTCAACTCATCGGTAGGTCCTTCGTTTCTGGTTAGGAAAGTAGAAAATGGAAGTTTCCCTTGTACGCACAAGCTTGGTGAACGAACCGGGCAACTGTGGCGACATAATACCCATGGTGTACGAACTCACGAAAAGAACTCACGAGAAACTGTTCGCCGATTGGGCACAATAATACAAAGCATTTTTTGTGCCCAATCAGGAGCCAGCATTCACTTGACCGTTTGGAAATGGTCCGGTGAGAGTCGGTACCCAGGGGCTCTTCCGCCTGTGCTTGAAAACTTTCGTCGCGCCTTTTCTCCCGGCCTTATGACTGCCCCTGGGTCTCCGAGGATGAAGATAATAGGGATCCGAACAAGAAAGGGGACTGCCATGAACTTTTAAACAAAGTGACACTGGCACAAGGGAATTCTTAATTGCTGTGAGAGGGAGAAAGAAAATTAAGAAATAACAGAAAATTGATAAAGCTATCGGTTGATTTTGCTTCTGACTTTTCCAAGTATAATTAAAACTCTTGCGTAAAGTAAGCTGAATTATCACCTATCGTCAGGACTATAAAAACACATAACAGAAATTTTTTTAGTAGTTTTGACGACTTTTTCAATGGTCAACGTTCGATGTATCAAAAATCTAGCAAGACCCCGAGGTTTTCCACATGTTTTCATATTTTGCCTGGTTTTCTTTGACCTCAAAAAGGGAATAGTGAAAATTTCAGCCTCGGAATTATCTAAGAATTTTGATAAATTGAATATGGCCTTTTCTTTTTCTGATTAAAAATAGAAAAAAGAGCCATTTTAGTTAGCAGAACAGCCTTTTTAAATTTTTACGACAACTTTTGAAAAATTTTTTTGTTATAAAAAAAAACCCCCCCCCCCCCTTATTCTTCCTTTAATTTGTAAATAAAACAAATTGGAATTTTGACTGTTCAAGGTCATTGATTTGAAAATAATGGGGGAGGTTTCCTTTAAGTACCCAATGCTATATCACCGTCGTAGGTCTTTAACTTCCCTGACATTTACCCTTGACAGTGTTGGAATGATTACCCTGCGGGCAGAGGTTTCTCTCTTGTATGGCTTTTAGCGTTTACGAAGTCAACACGGGGCGTAAACAAACCAACTACGTGACAGACAAGCCACGCGAACGACTTCGAAAGCGCTAAAAGCCATGCAAGCCCCGGAAAACTCTGATCGCAAGGTATGTGAGGATAACTAAGGTCCCGTCTATAAGGAGAAAACTTGTCCCGGGTAGAAGCCGGGTCACTTACTTACCCGAGGTACCCTGGGCGAGACAAGTTTTCCTTCATTTCCTCAATAAAGGTGATAAACCGTTTACATGAGAAACAAACATGATTCGGCTAGAATTTTTCATAAAGGTTCAACATATCCGGGCCAACATTTCTCAATGTAAACACATAGGCTCGCTCAGCTGGATCGACTCCGTCAAGGCGAAGGAATCAGAGCATGTGTGAACGCTGCTGGCTCGGGCAAAGGGATCAGCGTTTTTGTCATATAAACGTTCGCTAAAGTTGACTCGGCTGAAAGGGTGACTCTTTTTACCAGGACAACTTTTCCCCATATAAACGGGGCCTAACTTGTCTACATCCAGGTGAAGTACAGGGAAATCTGTCACAGCAACAAACCAATGCTGCGATGAAGGTACCAATGAATGAAGCTAGGCAGTGGAGGAAGTGGCCGCTTCAACAGGTTCTGCAGTTTGCCTGAGTGAAATAACATTGCAAAACTCGCATAAGCGGTGTTTTTACTTCACAATTTAGAAATAGGCCGTCAACTTGTTATTTCTTTCGCTAAGACAGTTACGCAAACCCGAGGCGGATAAAATCGAAACTTTGCATGACTTTCGTGAACTCTCATAACTCTTTGAGTGTTTCTATCAGGATATGGAAACACAACAAAAAGTTACCCCTCACACTTACCTTCCCGAGAAAAAGACGATAAACCCTTTGTTAATAATTTGTACCTAATTAAAAGAGAAATTCTTACTACTCGCAAAGTGTTGTACACGTCGTATACGTGATCATTTCTTGTTTTGCAAAAATAAATCATTAAATACATAGATTTTTCTCTCTTAAAATGTCAGCTTGAACGAAAAAGACCTTCACATAGTTTACTTTAAAAAATTGTTCAAGCTTTAAATCTCGAAGAATGGGTAATATAAGTATAAACTCGCCGATTTTTTAGCTCATAACGTTTTGTCAAACTATGGTTGTTAGGTGACGCCACAACTATTTTTACATTTATTTTCGTGTTCGCGTTTTCTCAATCGTCCCTCCTGACCTGACTATCTCGGAGCCTGGAATAGGCTATTTTTCCATAGTATCATGCAAACATACGTCTCGGCCAATGAGACCACACGTACCATCTTAGTTATTATATTATTTGTAATTGCCCATAAAGAATTACTCAGTTATAATTCTTTCGTTTTCTCTCTTTTCTCAAATGCGAGAGTAATAACATAGGAAGGCAGTAATAGAGTACAGCTAGTTTAATAGTTTAGTCACCAACGCATCTCGGAATTAAACATGATGTGGCGCTCCTAAAATAAATACGGTATACAGATACTGTATAAAAATTCGGCTCAACTTGTGTTCGTACTAAATAATAAATCCAACATAGGGAGATAACAGGCACTTTGTGACAAGCGCCATTTCAGGCCTTTTCAAACTTCGTGCTACCGCTGTGTTTTAAGCTGGCTCGACTGACGCACGACTTGATTTTAGACGTCGAATTCAACATTAACTGGTTTAACTGACAGACGACCAATAACATCGCGACTTAATTGATCAATCAGATCAATAACCAGAGTTTAATACCATCAACTGACGTTATACAACTCACTTTGACTCTGAAGATGACTACCGCACAGGTTGTGGATACGTCAGTCAGTGTCAACAACAGCCATTCAGGACTACGTTCACCCGGACTATCATACTCAATATATTTATGGAATTCATTCAGTCGAACAAGATACCAATATTGCCCAAAACACAAAACGAAGTTTCGCCAACATATCAAATGTCCTCCATGCACCAACGTATTTATAACTTATGAATTGAGTTGGCACGGCTTAACGTTTCAGAAAAACAAAGTTGTGCTGTCGTGATGTACAAAGTAGTAAGACTACATCGTTTAAAACGCGCTTAGGTCAAATTCAATCCATAGAGCTCGGCACGACACTAGCACGACGTTTAAAACAGGCCTTACCGGTTTAAACTGTAGATGCCTTAGTAATCTTTATATTTGTGTCATACCGGTGTGGTTCAGTCGATATATCTAGCTAAGCATTTATCCTGTAATTTAACAAAAAAAAGAACATACTTATTTTTCAACCATTCTGGGTCCATTCTGCTGATGGCGAATTCAAGAGCCTCTCGAGTTTTGTTTGTGGTGACTTTCTTTTTCTTTGTTTCTATCTTAGGACTGGAGTTCTCATACTTCTCTTTAGCATCATCGCAGGGGTTCTTTCCGTCGTCATTTTTCATATCACGCCAGTTCATCTTCTCATAATTTGGCCAGAGGTCTTTGAATGCGTCTTGAGTCGACAGACAATAATGTAAAGCTGTGTTACCTTTCTGATCTCTACTATCGAATTTAATCACGCCTTTCCTCCTCAGGAAGGTGGAAACACATCTGACATTCCCTCTTAGTAAAGCCACGGACAGGGCCGACATTTGAGGGATTAACTTTGCGTCCTCCCTGTCGCCCGTTGTAAACCATTCAGGTAGCTGAGAATTGATGTCCACCATTTTTGTGTTAAGAAGATAGCTTACAATACGTAAACTCATGGAAGGAAGTGAGCAAGCTTTAGTTAAAGCTGAGAAGCCTTCTTTATCAAGTTCTTCTAAATCTTCATTTTCGAAGTTCTTCAGTTTATCTTTAATCGTTTCTGGATCCAAATCTTTTTTCTGCCTCATCTTTTCCCTCCAAAGCTCAACTATCGATCGTGTAACTTCGCTTGTACCTCGAATGTATGCCGGGTCTTCTGGAGTGAGCCCTGTAACCTGACTTTTGGTTCGTTTGCTTGTAGAAGGGACGTCAAGTTCCACATCCTGTTGACGCGCTCCTTTGGGCGTCTTCCTTTTAACAGAATGAGAAGGAGTACGTGTAGCTGATAAAACTTTTTCTTGTGGCTTAGATGGCTCAATCACTGCTTCCACCCCTCTGGAATCTTCATTGGTTGGCGACTGACCTAGACGCACTGCTGAACAAGACTCCTTTTCCTCTGCCTTGGCGCTGTGAGTCAGAGACGTTGTGACAGTTTTGACTTTCATTTCAGGGCTCTCGGTATTTTTAGAGGTACAGTTTGGATAGTAGTCTTCGATCTTCCTCTTTTTACTGGATACAGGTGTACTACTGGGAGTAACCCTTTTACTGTTACTTGGTGTGCTAGGCGGAAACAAAATTCCTGTGTGTTGCTCAGACTCCAGCTGATTATAACTTGCGTTTGGATCAACAACCATCTCTTCCACGTCTTCCTTTCCCGACGGGCTTGTTTGCCATGTGTTTTCATTTGCTCCATCGACGATCACTTCCACTGATCTCTTGCTACCTCTCTTTTCAGTAACACTCGATTTTGATTCGTCTGAGGACGCAAGCTCATTAACTCCTCCATCCATGATTCCTTGAGTTGTATTAGCATCTGATATGCTCTTGTATTCACCCTTGAACGATGCCTCAATCACCATCCACCGCAAACGGTGTCGACTAGGGTCCGCTGCTGAAAATAGGGCAAAGTTAGCCTTTCTGTTTCTCATAAGGCACGTTTTTAAGATTGTCCTATCTAGGCAGTCAAGTCTTATGTTGTTCTTCCATTCATCTTCTGCTTCTTGGGCACTGACGATGAAAACTATCTTCTTTTCGGCAAGACAATACAACTTCTCCAGCCTTGATATGTCTGCTATTGCTGGATTGAGAACAGAGTAAGCAAGAAAAAGGATTGAAAGCGGCTTGGCACGGGCATAATTCACGTCCTGGTTTATTCTCAGCTGTTTTAGCAAGTGCATTGGAGATATATCAAAGCCGCTATCCTGTGAGTCACTATATCCAATCTCCCCCTTGAAACAATTTTCATTACCCTCCACGTTTACTAGGCCACGAAGGTGCTCAAGGATAATGCCCTCTTCGAAATCGATTGGCAGCATGCTTTCAGGAAGTTGCTTCTCTGCTTTAGTATCTGCTGTCCATTGGAATATACCTGGAAGGACAAGGCTGTTAATCCAGTCCCTGTACTGCACTTTGTGAAAGCGGAAACGGTTGCATTTTACCACCCACAAACCTTCTTTGTCACAGTCATCGTTAAAACGTAGGTCTTCCCAGCAAGGCCACGGCTGGTACAACACTCTCTTCTCAACCGTGCTTTTGACGTTCAGCAAAATTGCAGCGTACACTTGGGTCTTAGCGAATGGCCTCACTGCGTTTGGAACACTTCTGAGAAAACCCAAAACGCCATAACTCTCATGAAGCTTGTCTCCGAACAGCTTGGCCGGTCCTGTGTATCTGTACAGCGGGAAATCACGATCAAACTCTTCGGTTAAAGGATGTGCCTCATACTGCTTTTTGACATCAGGTGGTTCATCCTTTCCACGCACTATCTTCTGGAGATAATTTAATGGCCTCCAGAAAGAGCAGGGTTCCATCCGAATGACACCGTCGTCATTTCTAATAACTGTATCGTTACAAGTCGCCGGTCCCCTAGAGCTGACAAGTGCTTCTGACATTACGGCTACATTGTCATCGAGCATAAAAACGTACTCCAGCTTCAGGGCAAATGCCATTTCCTGGATGAAACGCCTCGCGTATCCAATCCCTCCTTCACTTGGTCCGACATCTTCATCTTCACCTTCCATAGGTAGTTGATCTGGTAACTGGAAAATGACGAGCATCTTTCCCCAGGTGGAAACGTCATCTTGAAACTTTTCGCTTCGAACAACAGCAACTTGAAAATAGGTTATCTCCATGCTTTCATGTTGCAGCGCGTGGTGGTAATTCAAGAGGCACTTACAAGGATCATCTCTATGGGAGGGATGAAAGATCCAAAACAAAGAAGAACGGACGCTTCTTATTGCTGAAGCCAGGCTGTCCTCGGTCCAAACCTCTCCTTGCGACGTGAAATTTGGAAGCTTTTCCAACAGGTACTTGTAGGGACGGCGGCTTGCTGGTACCGAACACTTCACAGTCACAGGCTTCCCATCGATGTTTACCTTAATAGATTGTAATTCTGGTTCTTTGCCTTCGAGGAATCTCCCACATTCGGCGCAGTTCAAAAAATGGTACCAATGCCAAGCGCGCACCGCACCAGTTGGAATATTGTCAACCTGGCGATGATAAACCGTCTTAGTTAGCTGTGATAATCCTTCACTTTTCGTGAGAATAAAAGGGAAATTGGTCGTGTCATGAGTGTAGAAACGCCCACCAATAGAGTATTTCCCAGGTCCCACAGACTTCTGGAGAAGGCTTGGAGATTCCTGGATTGTCTTCCAATAGGGAAAATTCCAGTCTTCTGCTTCGTTGTTTCCATTCATCACATGGTGGCCTTCAGAAGCAGAGCTTTCCTTGACCAGATAAAAATTCCCCTCATCGCTTTCTTTAAGAATGTCCTGTCGTAGTTGTTTTATGAGGCACAGGTAGGTTCCAGTTTTTCCGATTTGGGGTTCAGCCTGGAGAAGGATTCTGTTACAGTGCTTGTTGTTTTTTTTGTCCTTGTTTTGGTAATCATAGCTTTCCTTGTCGGCTTGGAATTTCGACCAACGAAGCGAAGTGGAATGCTTACGTTTGCTCTTGCTGTTTTTCATGTACCTATCGACTGTAGTACAAGAAATGGCTCTTACTGCAGGGGACAAGTCCAAGGACATTTTAAGCCTTTTAAACAACTGCGCTCCAACCAACGCATAAGGAACGTTTTGAACAAAGGATCCATCAGTAGATAGCTTTGCGTAACGACACATTCTTCCCAGTTCTTGGATGACAGTGGAAAGAACTATCGGCGAACCTTCATCGTAGCTTAGGCGGAGGTCCAGGCAATCAAAGCTTTCGGGAAAAGTGTCACCCATGCGCCCTTTATCGACAAGGATGAGGACACACGCAAGATTCTGTAAGTCTTCATACTGGGTGATTGGCTTGTGCACGTGTTGGCAATTACCACACTTCGGGCGCCCTGGATGCAGTTTAAGATCGCTACAGTGGCACTCAAATTGAAACTGGCATTTCCTTGGCTGAAGCTTCTGGAAAAAAGTGTTTGATGATGTCATGAGTCTCTTTAAGTTAAATTTTCCATAATCTCTGATGATTTCAAAGCACTCTTCTTTAGATGCTAGTCTTCTAGCTTGAGAAAGAGTGAAAAAAAATTGATCGGCGGTTTTCCTGCTTTTAGCTCGTACAATTTTCATTTTGCCTGAGCCCTGTTCGCCACTATGAATCAGACTTTGTACTAGGCAATCTGTTTCAGATTCCTGAACAATGGTATTCCAAATTTTCACCAGTTTCTCGAAGTTGTTCTCTTTTAGCTCTTCTTCGATAAGTTTAACATCAGCGTACTTCTCTCGTAATTCTCCTAGTTCCTGAGGCGAGAGATGCATCAAACAGGCGACAAAAGAATCGACCAGCTCCTCTTTGCATTTCTTGGATTCTGGGCCATCATCATTCAATGATTTGAATTTTTGTAGCGCCTCACAGTCCGTCTTGAAATCGTCCTTGACCTTCTCGCGAAGTTTTATTTGAACCCACTCAAATACTTCGTGATGAATGCAACTTGTGTTTTTCGTAAGAATTCTGACAAAGGACTTCAATGTCTCACAGAACTGAGCAGAAGGAGATTTGTCCATACCGGCGGTGAGTGCCTGTCGCACTTTGTCATCGCTGTCGTATGTGCTCATGTGAAGAACGTAGTACGAGTACTCCGCGCAAAGCATGGCGTCAACCGTGAAGTCGATTTTCGACAACCCTTGTTTTTTCGCATTCTTTACAATTTTTTGGAAGTACTCGTCTTGGCGTATCTTTTGATCTTTGCTGTTCATTGTACTAAGGTAGTAGTTCAAGCTCACATACTGCCGTCCAACCATGTCCACTTCTTTTGGCCCACAATGTACCATATAGAACTCGAAAGACACTTCACCCAAGTCATTTATGGGTTTCGTGATGACAACTCCACCTTTACTTTCCACTTTAGCTGGTTGCAGTTGAACCTGGTCAAGTTCATTAACCGTCAAATACAGATCTGATCCATCAGAGCAGACAAACGCAACGACTCCAACGCCATATTCTAGCTTCACTCTAAACTGTGTTGGCATCGACGGGTTATCTATGGCCTTCAAAGAACCGCTCTCGTCTTTAGTCAAGGTTAACACTTGCTCTTCGCTTACCACGGCTTTAATTGTAACGATACCGTGGCTGCCTTGTACCTCAAAAACCGTGGCATCGGCCTCATCTCCTGGCGTTATATGCAGGTTACCGTCTGGCAACACTTGAAGGTATGCAGAAAGATAATCACCCTCTTCAGGCGATTCATCCAGCTTTGCATCTGGCGAGACTTGACGGCATAAAGAGCGTACGCCTTTCTCTGATAATGTCGACTTCAGTTTCATCCGCATTCCCCTTTCAAAGTTCTTTACCTCGACTTCCGACCAGTCGACGACGTGAAGCTCTACTTCCCTAGCCGTTTCTTTTACACGTTCTTCAATCTCAGGCTCGGTTTCTTCGACTAAGAGGTCCCCTGCCTCGTACGTTTTTCGAGTCGTAGTGACTTTGTCATGGAGAACAAGACAGCGGACTTCAGGAAGGCGAGAGTCTTGAGTTAGTAGGTTGAATGGTGTTGCGGAGATTTGAACTACAACGACATTTCTGGGTGATTCCTCGCACCAATCATTGATGAACAGATTATGTGCAGATTGCTTTTGGTCCTTGTCTTTAGTGATTCCCCAGTGGCATTCGTCTGCAATAATGATGAAGAGGGTTTTCTCCTTATCTTTGACCTCTTTCTTGAGATGTTCAAAGTGTTTGTCAGCATCCTCTCCGTGACCATACATAAACATCCTCTTCTTCCCTTTGCGCTCTTTGTGTAACATCACTTCCTCTTTCGATAGGACACCAGCGTCTGGGTGACAGAGCCTTTGCTCGGTCTGATCGCTAAGCATCCGGTAGCGAGCTGTGTACACTGTGAAGTCAATATCATCAAAATGGTCACTGAGGTTCGCGATATCGTGATAATAATCCATTATGGCTTCTATGCGCTGCTTAAGGATTGCTGCCATTTCAATCTGTGTCGGAAAATAACATGGGTTTTCAGGATTTGAACGAGTCGCATCATCAATTTCTTTTCCTTGGTTTGGAGGGTTTTCATCTACCACACAGTCATCTTTCTCTTCTCCGATACTTGTATCCTCTCCGGCTTCAGACTCGGTATCAGAAACCTCAGCAGCGTTAGTCTCTATTACTTTTTGAAGTTCTCCTGTGGGGTCAAAATCGTCTTGGACTGTTACGTCTAAACAAGTAATTTTTCCATGTGCTTGGTAAGGACAAATAAGTTCTTTGGCCGAGCTGTTAATTTTATCAAGTACCCTTTGCAGCAAACGATCGTCATCAGTTTTGCACCGCCATCCCCTGCGCTTCTTGTTGAAATCTTGCAGCTCTTTTTTCAAATCCGGTAAAGGATTGAGAAATTTACAAAACGTCTTGGTGTCCCGTTCGGTAAGGGCGTCGACGATTTCCGATACTACGTCAAGAAAGAGGGAATAGATCTCATCGTCGTCTTCGTTACTCAACTGAAAGGTACATTTTGTCTCTTCGGATGTGTAATACTTGACCACGAATGGAAGAGTGTCTTCATCAGAGACATGATCACCTACAGGATATAACCAAATGGTGGTTAGCAAGCTGCTTTAATGTAACGAGGAAAACTCCTAGTGAGTTAGTCACAACTACAAGGGAAATCATAAAACGTTCACAAGGTTAAAAAAGAGGGGCGGCAGCCAGAACAAATAATATTAAAATATCAAAAAAAAGCTCTCTGGCTTTTTGTTTAAACACGAACTTTCGACCGCCTGATCTGCACTCTTCAACAGGGCGAAATGATTTAAAAATGAAAATATTCTACAATAAATTAAAGTGTGATAAAGCGAAAACACAATGTGAAAATAGGAGAGAATGCTTTAAAAATTTGTGCAAAATAGAACGCTTTAATGTCTTGAAAGAGAGTGAAAGAATTGTTATCTGCAATCGCTATGTTCACAATTCCAGAGACTTTTGTACGCGATAACAGCCTTTATAAATGAGGTTGATCTTAGTTCGACCGATGAGGACTGAATAATTTAGTTTGAATAATTAAATGTCCTTATACAAGTTACATAATGAGAATACATTACATATAAGCACAATAAATTCCATGAATATTTCAGAACATTCCCGCCCAAACGCGGGAGTTTAACGCAAAGTATCGACATAAATCAAAATAAAGAAGAATCGCCAAGGGGCTATTTCTTCTGAGGGGAGGGGGCGGCTATACACACTCAGGCTACCATAAAACCTTGTCGCCGACCATTGGGTGAAAGAGAATCTCATGTGAGACTGAAACATTCAGAACATTGTACCCTTTTGAAAGACTTTCGTAACATAAAAAAATGAGTACCATTTTAAGTGGGGGCTGTAAAGTTTAAATTCGACCATTATGAATAAAAAGAAACAAGTTAGCCATTAATTTTAAGAAGGAAACGATTTGCATTATTTCCACGCACCCCTCTCCCAATCCCTCTGTCCCCCAAAATATAGTGTGACAGTATAACGTGACTAATTTGACATAACCGGAAATTCCAAACTCATTGTTGTTCTTCGAGTATAAAATGCGACAGGGTCAGCTTCTCGCCACTGACCTGATTTACACTAGACAGAAATATTGTATTGTAAGAAAACCAGAAGTTTAGCTGCAAATTTACAAAGGCATGTTTTTTGAAACTCTCTAATGCTGACATTCATATATCGTGCTTGCTGAATGGGCAAAAACACGAAATTGTGTGAACAAGATCATGTACAAATTTAATGATAAAAGCTCAGCAAGATACAGATACAGACAAAAGCAAACCCCTGAAACCTCGACCTGGGCTACACTTGTATGCTCTACTCAGTCACCAAACCTTGTCAGTAATAGCTGCTATTTTCTTCAAGTTGGTCTTCGTGAAGCTCCCGGATGGAATCTCCCGGCCGGTGAGGCTTTGAAATTGTGTGCAAAATTCTCAAAGTTCCTATTTTTGTCCGTGTCTTCTTTATCCTCAGTATCCGAAATTTAGACCTCCAAAGTGGCGTGTGTTGCCTTAAATAGAAGGAAATATTTAAAGGAAAAGCCAGTCTTCTAACACGGCAAAATTGTCACGTCCCTCCCTCATGGACGTCCATTTCATAACATCAGGATACATCTGACTTTCATCAGCAACTGAGTTGTTCACGTCACTGAGTACGACAGGTTACAATCAAGTCTTCAGCCAAAGTGTCGTCAACTGGTGAAATACTTTGCTCATAAATTGTGCTTATTAATTGCTCATGTTCTACATCGATCGATAATTCTCTCTTTGAGTTTACGAAACGGCCGCGGCGTTCCAAACCTGACGCTCACAGCCATCTTTTAGCGTGAACCTGTCGTGAACGGCGTGTGGGTTTGTATGAAACGTGAGCATTTCTCTGAGTTTCCCAGCGCCAACATCATCAACTGACTTAAACTCGAACAATGACAAAACTGAAAGAGTGACTCCTATAATCGAATCACTTCGAACAACGCAAATAGCCTTCTGCAGGTTCGCAACGCCTTCTGGGTTTTTAAGGGGAGGGGGGGGGGGGGGGGGGCGAGGTACAAAAAGTATTCGTGCAAGAGTCCGTGCAAGGGAAAATCATATGAAACCATTTGTGAGAGCATCGTTTCTTGGTACCAGACCCTCGTGTCTTCCCTCCCCCGGGGGACCGTTTTTCTGCACAGACGACCAAAAACCGAATTTATAAGTGGGCAGCCCTGAAAGGGGCAGCCCAGTAACAAATGAATGTTTCTGTCTGTAGGGTTTTTCCATTTTTGAAGTGGCAGCAGCCTCTAACATGTGGAGTACGGTGATTGGTCGACGGGGGGTCGACGAACAACTCCTTGTGACGTTTTTGCAAGAGCGGAACGGACCAGTCTATCTATTATCTCTTGAATATTTCTTGTATCCGTCCAAGTTTCCAGCGCAGTCTTAGAGTCTTGGAAGGCGGTCATCGCAAACAAGGACTACGTCCCTAACTTGTAAAGCAGAAAGTAGTTTGTGCCCATTTCTGGTAAGCCGTCAGTTTAGTCACACACTCTTGTGATCATTGTTTCCAAAAGCAATCAGCCAACATAGGGTGCGCGAGGGCAAATGATATGTCATCTGGTTTGTCTCCTGACCAAACCTTCAACGTAAAAGTCGTCTTTGACTAACTGTGCAGCTTGACGGAATTTCTTTTTATTCTTCTTGATCTTCGCGTGGTGTTTTGCTGTCGCTATTACCAGATAGGGACATGGTTTTGCTCCAAAAAGTAGGGTCACCATTCGCATGATTCGCAGTAGAGCACCAGAGTCCATGTCGCGCCGCATGTAACGGAGGACATAACGATCTTCTTCTTTGAAGTTGGAAAATTGCTCAAAGTCAGCATTCGGTTTCTTCAGTAGCGGCCGCAGCGAACCAATCTTAAGATCCTTTGGCATCGATCCAGTCGACAGCGACAGGTTGATTACCGTTTCAAATACCGGGACAAGACCCGAATAGCAACTTCGCATTATGGTTGCTGGTAGAGGATCAAGTATACAAGCCTGGATAGTGGAACCTCTGATCAGTTTCAAGACGTCTCCTCATCAGTGACCAAATCAAACTCACTTAAACGTGAAAAGCACGTGGGCTTGGCCAGACCAGGGGAGTGAACAAGTCCACTTTTCCTAAGTACAAGCTTTTAACGAATCCTTTCTATCTTGGCAGTGAAAAAAGGATTTATTGGTGATGGAACTTCTCTTTCTTGTACTTTACCGAATTCGCGGCTCGAGTTGATGAGTTGGCAGGCCTGTGCAATAAACGATGATGAGCCTTCCATATCCCTCCATGCACACATTCATGTACAAAGTGACCAGTTGAGCCAAGACAGTTGAAACAGAGTCTAGCACTAAATGCCTTTCTGAGCTTCCCTTGTAAGCTAATTAACTGCTTTCTACAGCGGGCTGTCTTAGGAGACCAATGTTCTTAATTCGACCGTTGAGGGCTTAACGATTTATTTTAAATATTTAAATGTTCCTATACAAATTATAAAATTTAAATGTTCTTACATATGAATACATTAAATGCCATGAATATTTCAAAACAGAGGTTATTGAGCTAAGCAGGTAGAACTAGGAGTTTGAATGTGAAAGCGAGTGCAGTAGAGGAAAAGGAAAAGAACTACACTTGAGAACCAAAGCAATGCCATGCCTGCGATAACGCTCGTTGGAGGTAAACCGCCCTGGATTCCCCTCTTCTTTGTTTTTGTTTTTTTATTAACTCAAGTACCTCCTGAAGTGTGGTTTAGTCTCTGAGAAACTTCGGCATCCACCAGACCATCACTTTCACAAGCCATTGATCCTAAACGAAAGACAAGAACAACCATTAAGATAACGTTTTAAAAATCTCACCACCTTTCACGATCGAAATCGAGGGTCGGACTCGAAAGAAGTTCCCTTTCGTAAACGGTCGTTGCCATTTTTAACGGTCGATACCACCATTGGAAACCAAGCCTTTGGTCAATAGTCTTAAAAAGAACGACGTTGAAGCCCAAGTTGAATAGGCCATTTGCACTAAGAGGTCATGTGACATCGTTTTTATGAAAATGAAACTTATATGATTTTGCCTTCGAAAAACGATTAGTGGATCATATCTTAAACAAAATAACAGTGATTTGGTTTTTCAAACCCGCACCATTTTCTTAAAAAGAGTGAGTTCGTAGCTGGTCACGTGACCAAAATGTGATTTTTGAAATTATGAATTACCTCTTTCTGAACACAAATTTTGCGCTTAAACTTCAAGGGAAATGTTGAAAAGATGATGTGGTAACGTTTACAGCAAATCTGAGCGTAACTATCAAACGTTTAACAAGATATAAGCAAAAAGTAGTTTTGGCCACCATGCTGGAGGTCATGGAGGGCAAGAGTATGCCCTCCAACATGGCCGCCAATACAAATCATACTACTTTGTTGAAAAATCAAAGTGCCATAAAATATCTCCCCTAAATGTGTTTCCTCTCAAATTTCGGGTGTAAGATAATTTTTATGTGCTCTGTCAATTTTTGGCATCAGCAAGATTCCAACTCATTGTTTAAAGGAAGCATTGGTCACGTGACCTCTTAGTGCAAGTGGCCTATTTACATTAAAAGTTATGGAAAAGGCTAGGTTACCTGTTATTGATGCATCGGTTAAGAAAGACAGATTGCTAGTTTATTTACTTAAATTTTTTGGAATTTTGAGACTGTCCCTAGCCTGCCTAGGTTCGACCCTGGGTTGCAATTTTCTTTTTTTAAAAGCAACACTCTCAATAACAGGTCAAAAATTTTCCAACTAACCTTAAATGGCAGCCACCGTTTACAAAAGGGACAACTGTGGGCGTGAAAATGGCTGTCCATCAATATTATTTGAAAATAATCTAAAATGGCATTTCAAACTGGTCGGTACATAAAGTCTCAGTGGAGTCTCAGTCACAGACTCATAACAAAAGAACCAATCAGTACTTGGAAAGGCATTTTAAAAAATTACTTGCAGCCAAATTGGTACAGTAAAGAGGGTGGGGGTGGGGGTGGGGCTGACAGAGGAGCACAGTGCTGTACCTAGCTACATGATGTTGTGGGTTGCAGGTTACCCGAGGGTTGTCCAATACTCCGACAAATGCATGCATTGTATTGCATTGTCTTCACATGACAATACTGTACAAAAGCTTAACAATAAAGAGGGAAGCAAAACAATGAGACATTTTACAAAGCCATGCATAAATTTGTCAGAGTACTCGACCTTAAGTATGGCTTACTCTGCCAAGAGTTGGAAAAGCAATAAAACTAAATGAAACAAACTCCTACCCCAACATACAGCAAATACCAAAAAAACAGGAAATTGATTTCTCTACATGCAGTGTGTAAAGGTACTAGAACTGCTATAAAGTCAAAAAATGATCATGCTTATAAAATCGCTTAATATTTGAAATGTACTCTTAAGTGACCTGAACTCAAAATTAATTCCAAAAATGAGGCATTATCCTTAAATGGAAGCCAAGGAAACAAAGGCCAAAGTTGGTATCTAAGAGTGCCATTTTGGAAATATTAATAATCACAGGGCTAAAATCAAACACAATACTTTTCGTTGTTCAGAAATGTTGCAATTCTAACAACCCAACGCGCAATAACGCGTTATAAGTTTCAAGTAACCTAGCTAGGGCAAATTATAGCAAAATTCGCCTACAACCTGCTTTCCTAAATAAAGTGCAATTGTTTTGCTCTCTCTTTAACATTTCTATGGCTGAAAAAGCCTTCTAGAAACACACACTGGATATATGATCCTTGTGAGGTCGATGACAGATAAGGCCACAGTTAAATGACCTACATGCATTATGCAAATTTGCAGGTTGCTAAGGCTAACACATTGTTATGATACCATATTGAAAGCACATCACGAATAGAGTTCAAACGAAAATTTTCACATTTCCTCACCACGTTTCGTGCTACAATCGGGTCAGTGTCACAACAAACATTAAGAACAGGGGTTTACTTGTAAGAATTCAAAATGGCGATGAAGAAAACAGCTGATCGCAACAAAAATTAAGGAAAAATAAGGGCAATTTTGCAGCTGCTTTGGACCGCACTGAAAACAAATTGATGTAAAAAGATGTCAGATTTATAATACTGCGCTGAAACTTGCCAGGTTTATTTACATAATGTGAAAAGAGAGGTTTTTAATTCCCGGCAAAAAGGGAATATTTTGGAATTTTTGGCTGTGGCCAGAAGTTACAGGGCCCATTACAAAAAATTCCACGTCTCTATATCTCATGACAAAATTATTGGCTTAACCTGCCGTGAATTCAAAGGTAAATGCAGTCAGTTCCAATTTTTTTTATTCCTAGCTATCAAGGGAAAGCCAGAAATATGTAACACTTGAATTTTTAAGCCTGTGATATAAACTTGGAAATAACACATTAGTTATTTAGGTGTGAAAATTGACACCTTGGATATTAACTATTTTCTGAACGCTCAGCTCTTGCTTGATAGACCTGTGTAATTTTTATTTTGCAAAATTCTTTATTATTTTAGAAATCCATTTTTCAAATGCATTATGGTTTATAGCAGATGAATACCTTAACAAATTTTATTAATCAAACACCACATGCGGAGAAATCAACTTCCTTTAAGTAATCAACAGTAACCAATTACCTTCTACACTGGTGTAATTAATCTTTACTAACTTCAATCAAGACCATAAATGATCAAAAAAGTGAGGCTCATCTTTGGCTTATTTGTTCTTACCAAGGTCAGACATGGTTCTCGTCAGTGTTTAATCAGGATGAATACATACTCCATTATGAATCTGGTAAAGGAAAAAACATGATTGTTTATTCACTGGAGCTATAGGCATGCAGGTTAGAAGGATTTTGCAACACTTGAGCCAGAAATTACAACAAGTGTTACACAAACCAATGTACAGTCTAGTGGAACCTTGTTAAATCATGAACCTCTGTATGACCTGAAGTCCTCGGTATAACAAACAATCTTCTTTACACCAGTAATAGTAAACTATATGGAAAAGAATCTTGATATAACAAAACCTTGTTATGCCGCAAACAAATTTTGCCAGTCACTCGGCCCTTCATTACATGTATATCAAGGGTTCTACTGTTCTATAGTACACAGGGATGTCACCAAGTTTCCAAGTATATTCAATTAGTATGTGAGAAACCGAACAGCTACAAAGCTACATGGGCATGCACCCAACGGCAATTTCTGGAAAATAATCTGTTCGGAAGACGATTTGAGATCTAGAATTTTCGGAACATTTGATGTAAAATTTTTTGCTTGCCTGCCTCTCCTAGGATTTTCAAACATCTAAAAAATGGTATAATATTGCCCATTTTTTAACAGATTTTGTCCCTAAAAAGGTCATCTAGAATTTTCGGAAGCCTTTCTTCTGGCTGAAATTTTCGAAAAGGTAAGTTTTGATCCCTAGGCCTATAATTTTCAGATCACTAGACTTTCAGCTAGGAAATCCGAAGGGGATAAAAATATGCCTATATCTACCGTTTAAATGCTAAAATACCTTTAACAATGCTGTGTTTAGGTGGTTTTGAACTATATTCTCGTTGTGTGCCCCTGAAACTAGGGTTCTTTTGGTTCTGTTTTCCCTTTGGTTTCAATGAATGTTTGTAGCCAACGCAGCCAAGTTCAAACTGTAGCTAGCATGCAGTAGCCAGGAGAATCTCTGGCTCCCAGCCTTTATTGACAGCCCTGATAAAGTGGCACCTTTATTACCTTATAATTACCCCTTTAACACCACCTTGTGATAATGAACTACCTCCTTATTATGAATATTTCTTTTTGAGCCATTTATGTCAAAAAAATCTCAGTCATTTCACAGCTCAAAAAACTCACTTTAATTTCCTGCTTTTCCTGTGGACTAGCGAGCTCCAAAATTTAAGCTTGTCTAGGCTCAATTGATTGTTTGTCTCGACCGCTAAGAAAGTAAGCTTAAGAAAGTTACATGACCAGCAAAAAAACTAATATACTTGTTCAGGAAGACTGGACAAGACTTTTTTTGAGCCCATTATTTTCTTCTAGGAAAACCAGAATATTTTGCATGGCCCCTTTATTAAAAAAGTAATAACAGCTAGAGTTTCATTGGGAGATATTATTTTGCAGCATACTGGTACCAATAGTGGGGGGAGGGGGAACCCATTTTGAGCAAACATAGCAAGTGGGACTGTGTCAGCAATATATTAAGGAGGCCCTATTAGGGTAAAATTTCAGGAGACAACATGTCCTTTAAACAGCAACAGATAAGATGACCTGTGACACAAATATTGTTGTTGAATACCCACAGGGACAGGGCATCCTCCTCAATACATGAAGTGGTCTTTGAAATTCAGTATTTCAAATAAATCACTCTCTGTGTCATTTAGCACAGCGCAAATGTCATAGAGACTAATTTGCAAAGTTTGTCCGACTTTTGTCAGTTTTGTTATTTAAATGACAATTAGAGCGGTTTTCACTTGACTGTCGTAAAACCAAAACCAAAGTAAATACACTAGCCAACCAAAGAGCGTAGTAAAACCAAAACCAAAACCAAAACCAATCCCTTTCGACAGTCAAGTGAAAACCGCTCTATTATAGGAAGATAAACAAACCACTTTGAGGACAGAAGGCAAACACAACGAGGGCAACTTCAATTTTTTGTCTGATTTGTAGTTCTATAAATACTACTGTGCACAGCGTTATAAGCAATCTGGCCCAGCTAGGGGTTTGGGGTATTCCGGTATCCAGGGTGTCTCCAGGGAATTTTTAGTATTTGGTATTTAGATACAAGTTCTCATACATTTTTTTTCTTTTCAAAGATGGATGTATTGATGACACAGTGATCAAAATATGCACACCAGAAGTTCGCTAGGGGCTAGCAAAAGAGGGAATGGACAGTCCTAAGGTAAGCTCATGTTTAAATTGGTATCCCACTACTCCCTTGCCGAATCAGAGATAATTATGTTAGTCTCTTCGTTTTAATTTGAATGGTAAGTATTCCGTTTCGATCGATGACCTCAATTAAGGAAAATGCTTTTGAGATTTGAAAGGCAAATCTACATTACTTTAGGGCTACATTAATTATTGTTGTCAATAAAGTTTTGTGCTGCGCTAGGAGGGGGACATTGGGGAGTAAGAAAAATTGGCAAATACCGAAACACCGTGTCAAAAATCGACGAAATGCCGATACCGCATTTATGATCGGTCACGTTAAAGCTATATCCATCTCGCGTGTTTGTTTACCTCAAGCATGTATGCACCAGAAATGAACCTCAGACATTTCGAGAAAGCGTAGGCTTGATCGGTACAAAGATCGAAAAGCCTAATAGATTGTGTGATCATTTACCATTAAGTCTAAGGTCTTAAAATAGTAACTTTCATTAACCTCTTTAGCTTACTGTTGTTCGTGCTGCACATTGTATTGGCATGACCTGCATTAGACAGTGGAGAACGAAAATAAATGGTACATCAATACCGTGAAGGATCTTCTTTTACCGAATACCTTTAAACAAAAGGATGAACAACCATATACCGCAGGGCTGGATAATACCGCAATACGGCACCAGAGAAAATTACCGAAATACCGGCCGCTTGAAAAAAACCTCAATACCGCAATACCGCAAACTCCCATGCCCACCTCCACTACGGCAGCTTACATTATGAATGCAACCTTGTAACCTAAAAGCTCATGAACTAAAACTTATAGCGCAAAAGATTTTGCTGAGTAAATATCAGCTAGTTAACAAACCTTATTTAAGCCACAAGGGGATCAAAGACAAGTTTGAAATTCCGGAGCATGACCACTTCACAACTATCGCATGACTATCGGCTCAAGCTTACATACAAAATCACGCTACCTTTTATAACACTTACTTTTCGAGGACCTTCTGCAGGCGAATTCTATGGATAAAGAAGGACTGTACACAGTGAGCTCACAAATCCCAGTGGCGAAAAAAGGTTTGTGAAGAATAAAAACATACATACAGCTGTATATATAGTACATTCAGATTCCAAGAAGACAAGCCCCTTCTCAGAATCTAAAACCGTCACGTGACTACTTGATCCGGGTCCCCTTACTCGAGCGCGCCCGTTCCTGCGCCCATTTATTCCTATTTATTCCTAGCGCCTGCTACTCAAGCTACCGTAAAATTCCGAAAATAAGCCGCGGGGCTTATATTTTTTCAAAGGCCCTTTTTTAACGGGCATATTTTTGGAGGGGCTTATGTACGGACGGAAATTTGTGATTCAAAATCGATTGGGTCAGCCTTATAGCTCCTGCTCGAAGGAAATTTACTTTGTAAAATTGAGGGCAATTTCCAAGTACAAGCCCCCGGGGGGCTTATATTTGGAGGGGCAATTTAACGGAGTGTTTTTTGCGTTACGAGTTTGGGGGGCTTATATTTGGAGCGGCTTATACATGGAGGGGCTTATTTTCGGAATTTTACGGTACCTTACTCTGAGCCAGTCCGGTTGGCCGGGCTGGCCTGTTTACCGGGCAAGCTAAGCTAATATCTTGCTTCGTCATACAATTTTCGTTGTGTTTACTGTATATGAGGCCGGGAAATGAGATGACGAGCTGGCCCGGCTTGCTGAGATCCTGGTTGTTCGAGCTGAGATCTCGGGAAACCCTGACAAGCCTGCCTCTAGCTTGCGTATACGGCAGCCGTCTCTCCTCGCTTCTCGCCCCTCTCGGGACGTTTCACGAGGAGGGTGGCCATAAATTGGTTCGGGACCACACAAGAAAGAGGAATGACACAACTTTTAAGCTTATCTTTCTTGACAGTGAGATTAGCCAATTTTTGTTTAAATCCTTTCACATACGAATGTCCTTGCAAATCTTTAAATTTTGAAGGTTATTACGCAACAATGCTGATCATGGTTATATTTCGAGCTTGGGCTGACTATCTGTGCGATTAAAAGAGATTGAATGTGTCTTGTAGAAAAAGTTATCTTTCAAATCGACTCTCCATAAACCCACAGAAGTCAATAACCTGATTTATTACTACCCGGCATGATTATACTTTCTAAAATTTGCTAATAGTGAATTTGGTATGTTGTATAAGTCACTAAAATATGCATGCTACTAAGTATTCAGTATTGGTAGGGTAAACACGTGACAGTTATGATAAAACTTCCGAAATAAGCTCCTCCATGTATTGAGAATTCTGTGGCAGAAATACACGAAACTAAAAAAGATCACCTTGAATTGGCGCTCTATCTTTCATGCAAAATATGCTGACCGAGTTCTTGCATGCGGCATCTACACCCGTAGCTACCCGTAGTATGTAATAGAAGCTTCTAACACACGTTCAATAAATTCAATGGTGTATAATTGCACTTAAGTGTAAGCGTGCGGAACGAGAGCCGCCGAGTGATCAAAAGTCATTAGACAATGACTGATATTTTAACCACTCAAAAATGAAAAGGACATGAATCAACAATTGCATATACGTGAGAGCCCTCAGCTATTGTGGTAAATAATTTTGCTGACAAGAAAAATAAAAATGCAAGGTTTTTGGAAGTTGCCTTCGTATTTCCTGAATTATTGATTATTGCATTGGTTCGCGTAAACTTATGTTGGTCAGGTATGGCGGTCTAACAAAGAAGGGATTTTGCGAGACACAAAGAGAGACCGACAAATCATTCCATTTTTTCACTTCAAAACTCTTATAAAATATATTTTAGATACATGATCCAAAACGACTTTTACCATTGTCATGAGTTAATTCAATTTAGTTTTCAAAAGCTGGGCAA